TAGGACCTTACAATAGTGTGACAAGAATAAGGGTGTAGGACCTTACAATAGTGTGACATGAACAAGGGTGTAGGACCTTACAATAGTGTGTCATGAACAAGGGTGTAGGACCTTACAATGGATTTACAAGAACAAGGGTGTGGGACCTTACAATAGTGTGTCATGAACAAGGGTGTAGGACAAGAACATAGACTTACAAAGGTGTGGGGTATATACAAGGGTTAAGAATGTATACAGAGGTGTTGCCGTAGATGCAGAATCTATACAGAGGTGTGGGGTATATTTACGGAGTGTTGGATCTCAGATACAAGGGTGTGAGGCATATCCGTCGGTGCGGGGCTTACTTAAGGGTCCCCGTACCACTGCATACAAAAATATACATTCGAAACTTATTTTTCCGGAATGGTTATAACTTTGATAATACTTTTTCTTTTTTAAAGAAAAGCATACTTTGCAAAATGAAACATAATGAATATGAATTAAACGAAATAATAAAAAATAGTTTACTGGGTGTTAAAAAACACAGCGTGCTACACCAGGATTCGAAACCTGGACTTCAAATTGTTATACTGTCGCCCTATCCGACTGAGTCACTTGGTCAACGGAAGTGTCGCGGACAAACTGTGCTATAGTTATATCTAAAGCGACATTAAGGGGAGGTCACTGTGTATACGAAAAACCATGGTGCAGGGGGACAGGGATACTTAAGTCGGGAAGTAGAGCTTTATATATGTTTGCAGGGACCTATACAATGATATGGGACATAGTCAGGGACCTTGTCGTATACCGTCGTGTGGGACCTACATGTATGTATTATAGTCACGGTATACCGTAATGTATGTAGAGGGGTACTAGGCTACATTCGCGTATACCGGTTGAAACAGTACGTGTGGTGCAGAAATTTTCCACGATAAACGAACACACTTGGCCGTTCTACAAGCAGAGCTAAAAATACACAGTTTCGGAGAATAAAAAACAATGTATCAAGGGTGTTAAAAAGTATGCCCTTATTTTATCCGTCCACTAAATTACATAACGTATCTTAAAAACTACATGTGACTCGACATTGTTTAAGAAAGAAATAACGCAAATTGGCAATATTCAGCATTTTAGTTTCGGTCAGGTATGTCTGTACCCCTCAATCTACACGGTACCAATTTTTCTGAGGTCAGCCTCGGTCCAAATCTGTACCTGCCGTTTTCTTTACAGGTTCAACCGGTTCAACCGTTTCAACCGGTTCAACCGTTTCAACCGGATACACGAATGTAGCCCTAGTGTCCGGATCTGACGCCAAGGTGGCACAGGTAGCCGCGTGAGGCGGGACGGGTAACGTGTAACCGCACGTGTTACAGGTGCGACACGGGTGTCTATACAGTAATAAATGTAGTTTGAGGGCAACATAGTCATTCGAGTCTTGGCGGTTCAACGATTCACTTCAAGAAATTATATTTCCTTTTGTTAAATCATAGAATTGTGAAATTTTCCCGTTTTCCTTGAGACAGGCACGAACTCCAGGGAAGATTCTGGAAAGGGAATTCCTAGCGTCTGCCAGGACCGGATTCAGGACGAAGAGAAAGGAGAAAGGAAGAAGGATCGGGCACGTGCCCTTTGTATTTCGTGTACTTGTTCCTGTCAATAAAATGGTTGACCGTCGAAGGCCACTCCCATACATATAGGTGTTGAGTTTTATATGATACATGCTTTATGTTCGGTTGAACGTAGTGAATTAGAATCATAAATGCGATACGTGTGTGCATGTGGGGTCTATTTATGCAGGAGTTTGGGATTCATAAGGTTGCTACATATTTGAACATTCATCACTAATGAGCGCGTGTGTTGAAACATACCAAAAGCGAAAAAAAACCCATATTATTCATTATTTTCATATCCATAAAAGTAGGTTTAGAAAAAATCCTTTCTGCAAAATACGTTTGGTTCAGTCACAAGAATTTTCATATTTCAATCATAAATACATGCTCAATATACATATGTGTTATGTTCGCCCTCACTCACTCATCCTACCTTGATTATGGCACCCTATAGGGTGTCCTTGTCTTATTCCCTATATGATATGTAATTGTGAGATACCAGGTGTTAAGGAATAGCTAGTGTCTCGTATCCATGTAGAGAACCTCCGACAAATTTGGTAGGGTCAACGCCTATGGAGATTTAACATTAGCGTCGGCCCCCGCTTGGAATTTCAAAACAAGATAAATGCAAAAATGTATGGTTAGTTAGTTTCAAAATTCATTTTATGACAAATGGGACCTCATTGACTAACACCTGTGTGGGTGTTAAGGGTGCGGTAATACAACTCAGCCTAGAGCATTTAAATTACACAATTAGGCCTACTATAAATGATATATCATCGTGTGCAACACATTCCAACTGTTATTTTGATACCGAATATTACACTATTTCAAGAAAGAATTGCTGTTTTTATTGAAGATTTAAGCAGAAAAGTATGTGAAATTTCATTACTAATGAGAAAATTCCTATTTTGGACACGCTCACTTACATAGTTCTAAAACGAGTCTATTTTCATGCTTGCTTAAAAATAAGCTACCAATTATATCTTTTAACATCATGAATTTCCAAAAACATGACAACCGGAAAATTTGTCATATAAAACTTTTGATTTAAAAAATGAAAAACATAGCTTCTTTCCACTTTTCCTTTAACTTATGTTTCTTCATAACCAAAGGTCACTGGGTCTTGATATTTGACAAGTAGGTTGTCCATGTGAATGGATATAAGGTTTGTAGACGTTGGTGACTTTGACATTCGTTCAAGGTCACAAAAATCAAATGTTCTAACATGGGTTTTTTGTATGGGGAGTCAAACAAGGCTATCCTTCCTTGCTTTATTTGTTTAGAGTTAAAGATATAAAATAATGTAATATTCCTTCATATTTTGTTTAATGAATGGGCAACGGGCAAAATAAAATAATAATCAAGCATATATCAGTTTTAGTATTAAGATTATTTAATTGTTTTTATATAATTGTATATCTTTGTCTGTAATACAATCTCAACCTTAATTAATTCTCGAGAGGAAAGATTACTTTGACAGAATACAAATTCATGAGTTATTACTGCTGCACATAACTTTAAAGCATGCGCAATATAATAAAGTATTTTAGGTGTGCTACAAAAAACCCAGAAAATGTATCGGTATTTACCATAATAAACATTGATAATCAAATATCCGTGATTATGTTAAATTGGGTATTTATCATTTTGGCATGCTAAAAAAGTACTTCACCGGTTTTGATATTGCATAAAAATAATTCTGTATACAGAATTTATCTATGGAAAGGGTTTTTTAAAGAATTTTAAAATATAGACTATCTTTGTAACTTTATATAGGCAAGTTAACAATGTTGGTTATATTTTGCATGTTTTTATCTAATCAAAAGTATCACTACGCTTACTTCATGTATACCAATACGACATGTTTAGTATCAAAATAACAATAATTTTATACAATGTACACTATCATAATTCATTTTTTAAATAACATTCGCCTGTGATATTTATCTGTCATTTTGTTAGGACTCCCCCGTCACTCAACAATGTGTTAAGCAAGGAGGTCCACTACGGTTATCAGTAGTAATAGGTTTTAATTCGTAAGGCGTTTTATATTTCTATACTCAAATTGTGAGACTGTTCAATGTTATTCTTTCTCTTTTTCTTTTTCTTTCTCTTTTTGTTTCTGTTGTTGTAATGCTACTATTATACATATTATTTGATACCCAGTTGTGCCATGTTTGTAAATCTGATGTATATATTTGAGGAAAGGGCGTAAATAATGTTGTAATAACTTGTGCCCAATCTTGTTGTCACTATTTTGGCAATAAAATATGTTTAAACAAAATCAGTAGTAATATTTATTATTTTTTTATGCAGTTATTGTTTATTTTTATGTTTCTTCATATGGCGAAATATGGCCAAATGGTGACCCCACCTTTGATATTGTTTTCATAAGCTGCACACAGGCTAAATAGTACGACCCTGCGCCAAAATGTAATAATTGAATGACAAAATGGTCAAATAAATTAAGTTATATCAAAGTCTAAAAAAAATATTTTATAGGCGAATTTACCTTATGATATGTATTTTACATGTATTCTTATCTTTTAAAGATATATAAAAACCTCATGCTCATCTCCGATCCAAAGACTGATTTTTATTTTCATTTACAGACACACATTTCACTTTTTCAGTTAATTTTTGATTTATTAAAAAATAACGTACACGTATAAAAATTCGCAGACGTTTACTACAGATGAAAAATGTAAAACTAATGGACAGTTCTGACATTTGCACAACCTTGCGGGACTTTTATGAGAAATAATAGGATGTTTTAACCAGTTCAAAATATACAACTTTGCATGCAATTTTATGTGGGACTGGGACGCGGAACATGCACGCCCCTCTGTAAGAGATTTGTCGCCGAGTTCCTCAAAAGTATAACAGTTTCATCATTCACATTTGAATGAATTCGATTCAGGAATAAAAACATTTAAAAAGTTTACGGATGAGTGAAACAAATATCTTTTTTTCTGCACTTTGAAAATTATTAATGACAATTAAACCTCATTAGTACACCTATGCCAGTGTTAACGGTCCTGTTGTTGTAAGGCTTTCTTTTCAGAATATATTTATCAAAGCTATAGTCATGCCGGTAAAAACAGTTTCCAACATTTAGTTACAGTTTTTGGCAGTACAGGCATCCTTAAATATTGTCACTCGTAATGTAAGGGAGATAACAAAGTTTACATTTTCAGTTTTTGAACGTTAGCAGTTCCTCAATTCCCGTCCTTTTATACTTAGAAACAAACAATGCCGAAAATAGAGATTTTTTGAATTGCATTGTTATTTTCAAGTTGATCAATGAGAAAAATGTATACAAAGTTAATATTATCGATAACTCTCCCATCCTTAAACTGTCTTTAATAAACGTTTTGGTGATCAAGATTCATGAAATACGTGGCCCTCAGCTGCGCATGTGTGACGTGTCACTTCCTTTAAACGAAACCATGGCCGGCAAAACAGCGTTTTGTAGCATTTTTGCTGTTTTAGTTTGCATTTCGACGGTATCTGGCTTATATTTTCATATAGGAGAAACTGAGAAAAAATGCTTTATCGAAGAAATTCCAGACGAAACCATGGTTGTAGGTAAGGACATTCTGACAAGCGTAAAAACTGGTCACCAAATGTTGCCACCTGTCAACGTTGACGTCTGTTGTGTGGAGTTCAATAATCTGCAAGCCACTCCATGAAGCATTTACAGTATTGTTTGCTAAATCAGTTGGTGTTTCATTATTGAAAATTTCTTTAAAATGTATCAACTAAGTTTAATATTTTTAAATCACAATGTATTGTTCAAAATATCACAGAACGTCAGAAGGAACTGAACATCAACAAAACTGACCTGTAAACATTTTTATTATATTACACGTGTCTGATAATCCCAATACGTTAAGTTATAGATCGATGTTTGCTTGCTAATGACAAAGGAATAACTTATTACGATTAAACTGTAAAGGAAGATGAAGAATTGGTCTCCCATTGTCAGTTAGAATCAACAGCCATGATTGTGATCAATACAAAACTCAATATATGATAAAATAATAATATAATATATAAACAAATAATATGAATTTTAATCAATATTCAACGGAACTTTACTGTCTATATCATTTATAATATTACATTGTACATTTTGTTAGCATCATTAGTATTATTTAATTATGTACTATGAATTGTATGATTTTGAGTCCAGTGAAGTGCTTTTGAACCTCACAACATCCCAGGTTCGTACTCCCTGTCACCACAGAGAGGGCAATGATGGGACATCAGTTGTAACAGAAAAGAGTAATGAGATATTCTTTACTTTTTCTTCATTTTGGGAAAATAAACAAGATTCTTGCTAGGGGAAGAAGACTAGGCTGTAAAACAAAGCAAATAAAAAATCCCTGTCAGGCAACACACACAAAAAGTAATTTGGGAAATATTTGGCTATACAAAACAATCAGATTTATCTACATTTACTCAAATTTATGATCATGTAGGGTGGGAAAATCCCTACATACCAATAAAAAGGCATCCAGGCTGCATCTCTTGCTGTCTTCATTATAGTATTCTAAGGGGTCGACACTAACACTAGTCCGCTAGTCCTGGACTAGTAGATTTCAGCAAGGACTAGTGAATCACCTAACCTAACGGGTCATTTGGACTTGTGAAAAATAGGATTATAAAATACAAATATTCCTTTTTTAAATTTAGAAAACTGCTTAAAATGAGATATATTGTATGATTACTGTCAAAATTTTCCCAAAACCTTTAGCATATATTTATGGCAGTTATTTAAAGTACCCTACAGTTGATTACTTTTGATGTTTCGTGCTGTAGATGGTGATGTTTCCTTAGAGAAATCTTGGACTAGTTACATTGACAAAGGACAAGCAAATAAATTATTCAACTAGTCCTGTGGACTACCAAGCAAAAACAGTTAGTGTCTAACCCTGTTATTCTCTTACATGATCACATCAGAAAGTGAGCTAGGCAAGCCACTGTGTAAGATATTAAAATCTGGATTTTTAAGAAGTAGGATGCATTTTGAATTTAATGTTTCAGGCCATTACAAAGTTGAGATTCTAGACAACAATATAAATGACTATGTACCAACAGTATACGGATTAGGAATGCACGTAGAGATCAGAGATCCTGAGGATAAAGTTGTGATGTCAAGGGTAAGCTATTTGGATCAAATGTTGACCCAAATTCAGGTTAACAGAGGTTTAAGAATTAAAAATCACAGTGCTGTAAATTTCAGAATATTTGTTGAATGTCGGATCAGCTGTCATTTTGAATGACATATAGTCATAAATTATCTTCACTGTCTGCTTACTAAGTATCATTTTTGATATATATACAGGACTCATCTTTTGATCTCATATTGTGATAACAGCTATTAGAAATTAATAGATGCACATGTACCTCAACAAGATTCCTGTGTTTAAATCTGTATTTCAATCTTTAATCTATTGGGAAAATATCAGTAAAAGTGTAAGTTAGACATTGATGAAAATACATTTGTATGTTCGATGCAGGCAAACAAAGGAAAACAAAAAATGCTGATCTGATACTTCTGCAAATAATCTTGAAACAGCAGCAGGTGATACTTTGGACAAAATGCAAGCTTGAAGGCTTGCTGTTTAAAGAAAATTGTTTCAATGCCAAACTACTGCATTTATTTCCAGGTAACTACAAAGTACAGGTGTATGATTATTCTGTGAAAGACTACTTGCCCAGTGCCCCAGGGCTGGGGATGTTTGTTGAGGTCAGAGACCCTGAGCATGAAATAGTATTGTCCAGGGTGAGTTCTGCTGTAATTTCCAGAATTCTTTTACATATGGAGACCATTATTATTTCTTTTTCTTTTCTTTTTTTACCTCAAATTTCTTTCTTTTTGAACAGTGATTGTATAAATAATGTACTCTTTATTTTCTAATATCTATTTTAATTAATATTAGAATTAGCAACATAGCGAAGTGAAAGCTTAATAAATTTACACTGCAAGAAGTCTAGATCATGCAAGTGTCATTAGGTTGAGTTCCAAAAGTAAATTGTCAAATACTATAGCCATTTAACATAAAATATTATAAATTTGATCTGAATTTGAGGTCTTATCATGATCACTGTGTTTAAAGTTTTAATGGACAAAATTCCAACCAGGTACATATAAATAGTATGACCTTAGTTTATAAATTTTACTCTTGAAACTCTTTTTGTTCTTGGGTTTATTTTGCATGCTTTTATTGTTATGAACAGTTATTTACATGAACAGTAGCTAGCTCTATGAATTTGTGTTTGTAAAATTAAGTTTGATCATTGCATGCGCTTTGTTGGTACTTAAATGATATAACAAGCTTAGCCTTATTCTCTCATTTTTCCCTTTTCATTTTTTTTTTTTTTTTTTTTTTTGTGNAAAAGGAATTTGTATATATGCATGTGTAAGCTTGTTTCATTTTACTTGTAATACAATGACATGTATACATGTATAATGAAATATTTTTCCTTTTTAGTTCTCACTGTTTTGGTCTCCATATGGAATTATGGAATACAGTACATATATTTAGGATATTTGAAATATCCTATGGTTACATTTTGTAGTCTGATTTTTTTCTGGGTGGTTGGTTTGTCACTTAGTATACTCCATGCAGTTCTTTCAAATATTTGCATTTTTCGTTTGTTTTCTTTTCTATCACTTTAAGTTGTGTTGCCTTTTTATAATACATTGTATCTTTACAAATATTATTTAAAATGATTTATAATAATTACTGTATTTTGTTTCAGACCATCATCATTCATGTCGGATTGTCCTGAGATACAATATAGCTTTATTACACATTATATGCATGCGCATCATATAAAATACCTGTACATAAACCAGTTCCCAAGCCGTTCTTTCAGTTTATTATCTAACTTTTGCTTTTTTAATGTCTCAGGTTACAAAATTGGTTTCTTCATAACTTGGGCAAGTGGATGTTTACCCCCTGTCTGCTGATTAAATTTAGTTTTATTTCTACTCTTGGACATCTTGTTTTTCATTTATATTACACTTTCGATAGTGTTAATCTAAATGGAAAACAAGTGGTCCAAGAGTGGACAAAGGTTTATGAAAAAAAGAGAGAAAAACATTACCCCCAGAACACAGCTATTGTCAGTATGTTTCTGTATGTGTATATATACTTGTGGTTTCTTTTGATGCAGAACCACTACCATTGGTCAATCTCATTCCCTAGTGTGAGACTGATAAATGATTTTGCAGTTGTAGTTATGTACACTTCCCATGATTTTCTTGTTTCCCACTTACCATTATACACAGAACGAAAATTGATTGAGAAATCATAGTTTTTAGTTTACATGGGTGTACAATTTTCATATTTTAAGTAGAAGCCCTTTTTTGATTTTGAAATGTTCTATTATCGTGACTTATATTTACATAGATTTTATGTAAATGTTGAAAAATGTCACTTGCTCCTACATAAAATCTTCTAGCACTGCTATGGAAATGTATGCCCTGTATTATGCAAATTACAGGAATAGATGTGCTTTAAAAATGATGCTATTTTACAGTTTGAGATTGTTTAATCATGACTGATGAATATGGAGATAATCATGATATTAATAAGCATTACTATCAAGTATTGGAACTTTGATTACAGACTTACGCTGCTGAAGGACGGTTCACATTTACATCTCATTTAGCTGGAGAACATGTGGTGTGTCTCCACTCGAACTCCACCGCCTGGTTCTCCAGTGGACAGCTAGTAAGTAACAACTAAATGCTGATTGGTTAATTAGTAGGTCTACATAACATGATGATGGATTACTGCGCCATCATTACAACAAAAGGTTGTTCACAGTTTCCTGACAGACTCTCTAAAAAATTAAATGGCACCTACCGTACTTGAACATATTATTTTACTTTCGGTTATTAATTATTTTTATTGTTGAAAGTTACTGACACTTCAGGTTTTTAAATAGAAATATGAGACTTCTAAAATGATAAAAATCCCTACCTCCCTATCCACTGAAAAATATGTTAGTAGGGAAACTGCAGACAAACACTACTTTAATGATTAATTAATGATTTCTTGATTGTATAACCCAAAAATCAAGTTATGTTCCCTGTGAAATCTTAATAAAGCACATTAACATTTGTGAGATCTTTCAGAATTTGTGGAAGGTTGGGCAGACTTTTGATTCTAATATTGAGTGAATGTCACGTCTAGTGAAAAGTAAACACTGCATTCCCTAATGTTATTTTGAATACCAGTATAAACTAGACATATTTTTCTTTGTAAATTTAACATTTATATCAAAAAGCCTGAATATTTTGAATGGAAATATTAGTGGTACATCTGTTAAATTCTGTTCCTTACCGTCATCATTTAGACATCAAGATTGATAAGGAACCAGCACCAGTCTGCTATGAGGTTTAAAATGTTAAACAACATTTTCTGCCATAGTGATTTTAGCATGAGTTTGTCTTAAAAAATTGTTTCTGTATCGTTTTGTTTGAGAGAAACCCTTGGTTAAAGAATTGATTTTACTTGATCACCAGTGGGAGGGATACCTCTGCTCGAGGCTATTCTTTTAAAAGAGTTCATTAATGTGCATCCACTATGTAACTGCAAAAGAAGTGATGCATTTGAGAGTATGAATTAAAAAAAAAAGAAGCAAACTGTAAATTGACAGTCCGAGCATTAAAATGTATTTGATATCAAGTAAAACACTGCAAACTGTTAGTGTTAAGATTAAAATGTATCTTGAGAAAGCTCTTCATTAAGGAATCAATTCTATTTACAAATGATAACTAAAATTTAAAGATAGAGATCCCATAGCATTAAACTGCATCTTGTCAAATGATGCTCCAGCCTTAATTACCTGCTCATTACCAAAGGTTGTATTAATTTCTTTGTCAGTTCATCCATCTGTAAGTATTGAGATGAACTATTTTCAAAACTTATTCGGAAAACCGAGGTTGATTTTGATGTTGTGAGGACTTTCCTTATGTGTTGTTAGTAACGTACTGAAATCTGATGTATAGTTGTTGGGTATGCTCTGTATATTACTATTACCTTTTCAATTATATAGAACGCTCACTGTATACTTAATGTTTCCTCACACAGAGGGTTCACCTAGACATACAAGTAGGAGAGCATGCTGTAGATTACTCGCAGATCCAGGCAAAAGACAAACTGTCAGAGCTCCAACTCCGGATCCGCCAGCTTCTAGACCAGGTGGAACAGATCACGAAAGAGCAGAACTACCAGAGGGTGAGTTACAAGGGGCACATGTGTACAGCTAATGCTCTGGTAACCCTGTAAAGGAAGAATTACGGGCAATAACTCTATTTGGGAAAGATCCATCATAACTCTCATAGATTAAAAGCATATTCGTTTTTTGAGGATGGAAAATTGAAATGTGTGTGATAGAATTGAATTTAATCAACATATACAAAAAATCCATTGAAGAACACAGACAATTTTATAATTTACTATCATTCTATCTGAGATGATAGGTTCAAGTTAAATTGAAATATGGATAGAATTGATATTGCTGTGGTTGATTTCATTGGGTGATGAATTGAGGTGGTGTTTAAATTTGTTTTACTACAAACCATTTATCAGCCCATGAAATAAACAGTGGAAGGATTCAGCCCTCAATTATAAACTATTCCTTAAATATTATTTGTTTGTCTCAATTTCCAATATTAAATTATATTACTGCTTTATTTCAGTACCGAGAGGAAAGGTTCAGACAGACGAGCGAGAGCACTAACCAGAGAGTGTTGTGGTGGTCCATTGCCCAGACCCTTATCCTTCTTCTCACTGGCTTCTGGCAGATGAGGCATCTCAAGAGCTTCTTTGAGGCGAAGAAATTGGTGTAGGCCAAAGCATTGTCCTAAGGCAGCAAACAAGTTGTAGATCAGGAAGTGGTGGATCTTTTCTTCAAGTTCTACCTGGAAGAGGAATTGTAGACCATGCCGGGATAAAATATCACACTTTTGTGAAAGTGACTTTGAGCAAAATCTGAATTCATAATTCGATAATTGTGTGGAAATATCCGACGGAGATTTTTCTACACAATTATCAATGAAATATGGCTGGACTTTGTCAATATTTACACTACTAGAAAAATCAGGCAGTACAGTGTAGTAAAAATAAGCACTCGGAAATTGATTACCATGAATGAAGTCTGCTGTGGTTAGAATTAACGTAATCTATTTGGATAACTGCCATAATATGAAGGTGGCTTTCACTTTGGCCTGTGTTTATTTTTCCATGTTTGCAGTTCCCATAATCTTGTGTTTAAACGAAATCATGCTTTAGAAAGAACAGCATTAAACAAAATGACCTGTCCACTGATTAAGTTTAAAATCTGAAAGATTATTGCATTTCACTCTTCTAGTAAAGAGTTTATTATATTTCTTCGCTTCTGGAATTTCACATTTTTGATGTATTAATTAAAGGCCTGTGTTTCCTGATATGCAATTTGTTGAAATGTATCACACTTTTTGTACATGTATCTATGTAATGAGAACAAGAAAATGTGATAAAAAAATATGTTAATGTTTGAAAGTCAACTGTGGTGGTTACGATAAAAAAAAAGTCAGATTTAAATTATTGTAATAACAAAACGGTTACCCCGGTAAACTGCATTATTATTTTTCAAATAGTCTTGTGTACTATGCATTCTAAATACTATAAACACAAATTCATTGATCATGATTACTATACAGCTATCTTGAAATGTACACACTTAATTAAACCTAATTTTGTTATTTTGAATTCTTTATATGCTTGTCAGAGTCCATGCAAGATAAATGCTAAATAAACAGTGTTGCAAAATCGGAAATTAGCACATAGACATTTTTCTTTGAACAAATTTAAAAACAAACAAAAAATGCAGGAATATTTTTACATTATGTTATTAGCATTATTGGGAATAGTGGGATTACTGCTAAACAGATGTATAGTTAATTACAGAATATGATAATGACAGGAATCATGGAAGTTAAACCGCACTAAGAAAGGGCCAATTTCCAGGTATTCCAACTCTTTAAGTGGGCCAGTTCTTGTAAATCTGTATTTAATTTTCTTTGGCCCTGCCCTTCCAAAACCCTGTCGGAATAACATGTTCAGAAATCAATAATTTTTGTGGGAAAATGGTATTTAAGTATTATACTATCCCTTGTATTATATCCTCTATTTTCTCCTTATATATTTAAGAATGTTGGAATGAAGTGCTTTTTAAATTAAATTGGTATTGCTTTACAGAAGTTGAGCTATACATTTTGTGATAGTTCATTCTAGAGTTTTTATTTGGTGTGAGGACAAAAGTGTGGGTGTGAGAGCGAGAGATCAGAGCCTAAATGGTGAATGTACGGATACCAATACATATTGTATCTACTGCCTATTGGTTTACCTGTAAGTATGTGACAATGAATGGAAGCTTTATGGTATGTGAGAATGGTATTCACTGTACAATACGTTTTGTTTTCTTATGAATGAATGAAATAATTTCTCATGACACTCGATGTAAGGATGTACATGTCAACGAGTTTTTTCCTGTCTTTTTCCCCCCCTCAATATGAATTGAAAATTATATTTCATTTCATTGTAAGTCTGAAGCTTCATAATACATGTGAAATCGTGTTTGAATTGAATGAATGTCATCTACATGGAAATTATCTGTGCATGTCATTCCTTGTGATTTATCTTTTTGGTGATTGTAGTTAATACCAGAATTAATTTCATTTCTTCTGTTAAGTTAGGTTGAAGCACAGACTTTTAACAGCTTTTCATTTCTTAAGTCAGTATCCTGTACTTAGCACTAGCCATGGTATTTGTGTATAAAGTGTGCCAGTTCATACACCACAAAGTAATATTTTGTAAGCTTCATAATATTGATGCACTTTGGAAAAAAGAACTCCGGTAAAAATGTCTCGACACCTGATGTATAGTAACATAGCGTATTTAACCTCAAAAACGCAACCCAAATATTTATGAGAATATCAAAAATGGGTATGCTTTAAAATGTGTGCTTGCTCTATTTGTACATCTATACATGTGATTATATATACTGTTCAGCCCCATTAATCTGTATAGTTGAGGCCCATTACACCAGCGAGATTTCATGTATAATTGAATTCCATTCATCCATACAGTTAAGACCCATCAGTCAAGCCACCGCCGGTCCGTTTCGCTTTTCATGTAGAACAATTCTCCTCTTACGAGTTCTCAATTGTCTGTAAATCCAATTGTTTCACTATCCAGGCACGTTCAGAGAGGAACACATGTTTTTCGACCAACAGGCTCCACTTCTACATTTGTTCTTGTCTTTTAGTAGTAACAGGTAACAATTCCTGCCGTATGAGTTTGAGAAACACTACCTCCTTTGGTGTCACCATTCACATGTATATTTGCTTTGTGCTTTTCAGTTTAAATGCATGATTAAATTGCAATAAGCGACCACCATCTAGTTACAAAAGGTAAACCACCTTGTGCCAGCAAGAGCAGGATTTGTATGGGCATTATACATACTTCTCTTCTGAGAAAAATGCACACTTATTTATGCTTGATGGCAAAATACTAGATTTAATTCATTTATGATTAAGTCCAGATTATATTACCTTTTTATTGATGACCCATTTTCAGATTTTGTCCATCTTGTAAAATCACTTTGATTGAAAGCACAATGCTATCATGTAGTCAAATGATCATGATTTGCTTTTAATACAAACAATTACCACTTCTTGGTATATTTATTTGCTTTATTTGCTGTTGAGTATAATTAAGTTCTGACATCATGTAAAAATGTCCAGAATGAAGATGGCACGAGAGAATGATTTACTCTGAAAAGTTATATGAATCAACTGTATATATTTTTCAGCGCTCGTGTAATAGTCATGGCAATTTAGATATTTTTCCAGCACCTGGCTGACAGTCTCTTATTTCTTAGTGTTTCTCTTCTATTTATTATGACTGAACATGTATTTGAGAGGATGTGTGAAATCAGAATAAAAGAGTAAAGAAATATTGATGCTCTTCCTTCTCATCATTTATTAGCTCTCCTCGTACAAAGGACTAGTGAGCTGATGCGGTGGTGCAGCGTCAGTCTTGTTGACTGTCCATTTTGAATGTTTCCTTCTAAACACAAATAGTCTAGAATGACTGAATATTCGGATTTTGACCAAATTTGGCCTAGAGTATTGTTAGGCGAAGAGGAATCAATGTTGTATAAACGGAGGGTGTGCCCCCCCCCCCCCCCCCCCTTGGGCCATGAGGATTTAATATTAAATTTGGTCTAGACCAAGGTATGAAGAATTATAGATATTCATGCTACATTAATTGGTTCTGGGATCAGCCCCACCCCAAGCGACTTACCCATTGGGTCATTACATGGAAACAGTTGAGATCCCCACCCTATAACCATCTATACAACTATTGGTTAGGAACTGATGGATACACTCTGCTACCATGATTAGTCTTGGGATCTGGCCCAATCCTCACGACTTACTTCATGGGTCATAACATTGAAACAGTTGAAATCTCCATCCTAAATCATGTATAATATATAGGGGCATAAAGAAATGAATACAGTCATAAACTTGTCTTCCTTGCCCCTAGGTATTTCTTGTAATCATTTGAGAAACATGTATGCTATTCAACATGTTTGAAATTGAATATAAAGTTCCGTGTAGGCTATTAAGGCCCCAATGCCTCTTGTAAACATGAGTAGTGAGGAAAGGTTACTGTTTTGTTAGTACTTCTGGTACATCACACAATTGTATCTATCTAACACACAACACAGACAATAAAACATTCAATCTTAAGGTAGGGTTAACGCCTATGGAGATTTAACATCAGCGTCCGCCCCTGCGTGGAATACCAAAACCAGATAAATCCGAAAAGGTATGGGTAAAGCATGCTTAAATCAGGAATAGTTAGTTTCAGAATTCATTTTATGATAAATGGGACCTTGACATACACCTGTGTGGGTGTTAAAGGTGCGGCAACACAAGTCCTCCTAGAGCATTTACATGTAAAATGACACAATTACTATAAAATTATATCCTCATCGTGTGCAACATATTCCAACTATTATTTTGATACCAAATATTACACTATTTCAAGAAATAATTGTTCTTTTTATTGAAGATTTAAGCAGAAAAATATGTGAAATTTCTTTACTAATGAGAAAATTTTCATTTTTGCCACGTTAATTTACATAGTTCTAAATCGAGTCTATTTTTCATACTTGCTTAAAAGTTGGCTACCAATAATATCTTTCAACATCAGGAGCTTCAAAAAAATTGACAACGGTAAATTTGTCATTTAACACTTTTGATTCAAAAAAAGAAAAACATAGCTTTCTTTCCACTTTTCTTTTAGCTTGTGTTTCTTTATGACCAAAGGTCCTTGGGTCTTGATATTTGGCAAGTAGGTCGTTCATGTGAATGGATAAAAGTTTTGTAAACGTTGATGACCTTTGACCTTCGTTCAAATTCGCATAAATCAAAAAATATTTTTTGTATGGGGAGTCCGACAAGGATATCTTTCCTAGCTTTGTCTGTTAAGAGCTAAATGGGCAACAGGCAAAATAAAATAATAACTAGAACTGTAAGCAAAAGGCTAACTAATACCCCCGCTCCTATATAAACCAGAACTGTAATCTAAAGGCTTACTAAGGCAAAGCATTGCAAAGTCCATAGGGACCCTGGGGTCTCACGTTTCCCCCTGGGGAGGGGGTAAACTTTACTATAGTTTATATAGGGAAATCACATTTTGGACTAACATTTGTTTAATTGCCATTGGAAGTAATTTAATCTGGGTTAGCATTATCAGTATTCGACAGCAGTTTGAAGGTATGCACATATCAGCCCTGACTGACCCCCCCCCCNGTTGACAGTTTGATACTTTGAAAATTTTGAGCCATCCCTACCCCCAAGGGCTGTAGGGTGGGGCCCAATGGAGTCTGTGTGCTAAAATTTCTTCATTTTCCTTGTTTAGAATCAGAGGTGCTAGCTTCAAATACTTTTCAGTCTTAAATCTGCATGCTAGATATTGAATAAGGTGGTTTTATTGTTTTTTTGTCACTTTGAATAATATTTCTGTTTATGTTAAAAACAAAAATCAACTCTCTGTATAAATAATCAGGTGATTGTTAAGGCCCATGGGCCTCTTGTTTCAACAAAGAGCCATAACTCCTTTTGAAAGGGTCGGAATGAAAACATACTTGGATGCACAATATCAGGGGGCATGTACCATATCTGTAAACCTCCGTTGAAATTGGTACTATAGTTTTAAAGGAGTTGTCTGGACAAGTAATTTTCAACAAAGGGCCATTATTCCGTATAAAAGGGTCAGATTGAAAAATAATACCAGGATGCACAACATCAGGTGGTAGTTATCATATCTGAAAAATTTCGTTGAAATTGACCCCTAAGTTTTGGAGGACATGTCCGGACAAGGATTGTTCAACAAAGGGCCATAATTTTGTAAAAATAATGGTCAGAACGAAAAAATACTAACTGGATATACAACTTCATGTGGTAGGTATCATATATGGAAACTTTTGTTGAAATTTGTTCATTACTTTAGCAGGAGTTGTCTGGACAAACTTTTTCTACGGACAGACAGATTGGACAGGCAAGCTGATTCCAGTTTACCCCCCTAACTTCGTTGCGGGATAATAATAAAGTGTATAATAGTTTTACTATAAAGATTATTTCATTATTTTTATATAATTGCATATATTTGTCTGTAACACAATCTCAACCTTAAGTAGTTCTCCAGAGGAAAGATTACTTTAGCAGAATACATATTTATGAGTTATTACTGCTGCACATAACTTTGAAACATGCGTAATGTATTAAAGTGTTTTGGTATGACACAAAAACAGAAAATGTATCGGTATTTACCATAATCAACATTGATAGTCAAATCTCCATGGTTATGTGAAATTGGGCATTGATCATGTTTGACATGCTAAAAAAAGTACTTGACCGGTTTTGATATTACATAATGATTATGTAGACGGAATATATATATACGGAAAGGTTTTAATAAATTTTAAATATAGACTACCATTGTAACTATATATAGGCAAGTTGACAATGTTGGTTATATTTTCAATTTGTGAAAATTTTGCATTTTTTTTTTTGTAATTAAAAGTATCACTACGCTTACTTCATTAATACCAATATGACATATTAAGTATCAAAATAACAGTAATATTATACACTTTTAAATAAAAATCAAAATAACACTCGCCTGTGACATTTATCTGTCATTTTGAAAGGATACCCCCGTCATTTAACCCGAGGTCCACTACGGTTATCAGTAGTAATTATGAATACTTATTATGCAGTTATTAATCATTTGTATGTATCTAAATATGGCAAGATAATAAAAGAAATCAAAGTGGGGGCCAAATGTTGACCCCACCTTTCAATATAACTGATTCTAATCGTATCTAGTGACCGTTAAATGTAACCATGCAATACCGTATCTAATCACCAAGGCGGCCGGGGTTCGATTCCTCGATCGGACGTAAAAAGGTTGGGGTCACCTGCCCGACCACGTGGGTTTCCTCCGGGTACTCTGGTTTCCTCCCACACCAAGATCCCCCACCCGCTAACATCCGGGTCAACAAGAAAATTAATATAAGTTGAAATAACTTGTTTCATAATTGTTGTTAAATACATAAAGTTTATGTATTTATATTATATATATATATAGTGACCGTCAAATGTAACCATGTAATGTCGTATCTAGTGACCGTCAAATGTAACCATACAATGTCGTGTCTAGTGACCGTCAAATGTAACCATGCAATGTCGTATGAAGTGGCCATCAAATGTAACCATATGCAATGTCGTATCTAGTGACTATCAAATGTAACCATGTAATGTCGTATCTGGTGACCGTCAAATGTAACCATGCAATGCCGTATCTAGTGACTACCAAATGTAACCATGCAATGCCGTATCTAGTGACCGTCAAATGTAACCATGCAATGTCGTATCTAGTGACTACCAAATGTAACCATGCAATGCCGTATCTAGTGACTATCAAATGTAACCATGCAATGTCGTATCTAGTGACTATCAAATGTAACCATGCAATGTCGTATCTAGTGACCATCAAATGTACCCATGTAGTGTCGTATCTAGTGACCATCAAATGTAACCATGCAATGTCGTATCTAGTGACCGTCAAATGTAACCATGCAATGTCGTATGAAGTGGCCATCAAATGTAACCATGTAATGTCGTATCTAGTGACCGTCAAATGTAACCATGCAATGTCGTATGAAGTGGCCAGCAAATGTAACCATGCAATGTCGTATCTAGTGACTATCAAATGTAACCATGTAATGTCGTATCAAGTGACCGTCAAATGTAACCATGCAATGTCGTATCTTGTGACCATCAAATGTACCCATGTAGTGTCGTATCTAGTGACCATCAAATGTAACCATGCAAAGTCGTATCTAGTGACCGTCAAATGTAACCATGCAATGTCGTATCTTGTGACCATCAAATGTACCCATGTAGTGTCGCATCTAGTGACCATCAAATGTAACCATGCAATGTCGTGTCTAGTAACCGTAAAATGTAACCATGCAAAGTCGTATCTAGTGACCGTCAAATGTAACCATGCAATGTCGTATCTAGTGACCGTCAAATGTAACCATGCAATGTCGTATGAAGTGCCCATCAAATGTAACCATGTAATGTCGTATCTAGTGACTATCAAATGTAACCATGCAATGTCGTATCAAGTGGCCATCAAATGTAACCATGCAATGTCGTATCTAGTGACTACCAAATGTAACCATGCAATGCCGTATCTAGTGACTACCAAATTTTGCCATGCAATGCCGTATCTAGTGACTACCAAATGTAACCATGCAATGTCGTATCAAGTGACTACCAAATGTAACCATGTAATGTCGTATCAAGTGACCGTCAAATGTAACCATATGCAATGTCGTATCTAGTGACCGTCACGTCTTACCAAGCAGTGACGCATGTATTGACCGTCGATAAAATAACCTTGCAAGCAGTGATATATTTAGCGATAGTTAAATGTATATTTTCAATATGGGGTTCCATTATGCTTTCCATAACATGCGTATATTTAAAACAAAAAGGGAAAAAAATAGAGAGCATTTTTTCGTCAGGTGCGGAGCCCCTTGATTCCGGAATATATGTCTCTGGATCCACCACGGTTCTGTCCAACTTAGCTGGAATTTTCGCTGTACTCAAAATTATGATCTGATTTTTAACACGATTGTGAGATGGCAGGGTGAAAGGAAAAACGGACTTAATAAGTAGATAGAAATGAAGTCATTAAAAGATCTCTTTCCTCTTCATAGATACTTAAGGGCATCGGAGAGTCACTTAACGGTTTTCAAATTTACTGCGATTATTTCAATAAATATCCTTATGGATCGAGAAACATAATATCGAACGGATTTGCAGTTGAAAGCTTCGAAAAATGAAGTTAGGACACTAAATTTGTTTTAGCATAGTACATGATAATACTTAAAAGCTTACAGATGAATGTCAAGCACAATTGACATTTGCTCGCTTAATTCACCTCCTTCTCATTGAATTATAATTGTGGGACATTGTACAAAAACTGTAAAGATTTAGTGATAATAACATATGTTAGAACGTCTGAACGTGTCATTGGCTTTGTGACGTCAGACGTCATGATGTCACCTGCATATGACGTCACACGCATAATTTGAAATTGACGTGAAATAATTTTTCGCAGGTGTTCGTCAATAAGAGAATCGTAAAAACTCTCGAGGTACGTACTTTAATTATCTATTTTAATAGGAGTGTGTATATGCAAATAATGTGCATGAAACCATGTAGTTTTGAAACCACGAATAGTTTTGCGCATTGTTTGTCGCAAAAATAGCGCTACAGCGCTTATGTTTCACTGTTTGACGTATTCGACGTTGAACAAAGTTTCTTGTATCTTGCATTTCTTGCAAAAACGATCATAATTCAATCGATGATCTATTTCAAAATATAAAGAAAATCAGTGCCTTAATTGCATTTTCATTTTACCCGAAATTTATTATGCATGTAAAATCGATATCAGTATTTTCCGATTCTTTATTTTGCAGACTTAATCCTTGTAAATGGAAGCTCTTTTGAGTACGGATACCGAAATTCCCGTCTGCCTCAGTCCCCAAAAGGTCAAGGAAAAGGTCAAACGTCCAAGGCGTGCTGTCACTTGTACATACCACACAGCTGACGTTACCGATGACGAGATCCAGATGATGAAGCTGACAGCCCAAACGTGTCGTGAAATTAACGCTCGGGCCAAAGATCAAAGTGAAACCATAGATACCAAGAAACCTCCAAGTTGTAATCGGAAAGCTAGCAAAGCTATCCTCAACACTTATGCTAACGATGCGTTCTTTGTAAAGACGACTAACCGACCGGACTATGTTGGTTCTCTTGCTATCGCCCGTCATCTGGTGCATATGCCCACCACGATGTGCCCGGATGTGGATAAGCACGTTGAGGGGGTTTACACACTCAGACACACACTTCCTCTTGCCTGTCCCACGTGCTGGAGTCTCCAAAGAAACTATGTCTAAAATGCAAGAACATAGCTAGTGCTGTACCAAAAGTGCCGCGATATCACTATCGCCATTTATGATTCATAACCTTTGAAAGTAACGCACAGCTCAAGTTAGTTCACAAAAAAACTTCTTTTTTTCAGTAGCGTTCTGTTATGCAGATAAAAAAAGAAGAAGAAAACACGCATTACACACAAATGACTGGGCGATTGTTTGTACAGTCCGGATACATGTATTATAGTGTACATTATATTTCCTTATTTAAGTCTGAATTTCCCCAGTATTTTCATTCAAGATTTTGTTGTTAATCAAAAGCATAGAAGACTAATCTCGTTAGCTCTGCTACGTTTTTAAAAAGTCACTTAATAGGTTTAAGATGTACCAGAATCATGCGATTTCTTTTGTTGGATACGGGACGAGTGTAGTTACACGTACGTAATTTACCAGAACCTCGACGTCTACAAAATCGTATCACACCCAATAAACAACCCGGAAGTAGCTTTCAGTTGACTGAATTAACAACATAGTGACATACGAATATTGCTCCTCTGAAATATAAGTTATGTTAACTTACAGATATATATTTTGAACCCGAATAACTAAGATCGAAATATTATCGAAGACCAGCGGGAACCAAAATCTACTCTTCTGACACTGTATTACTCCTTTTCCTTTCGTAGATGGGTTCCTATTTATTCAAAATACAAACATTATTTTTATAATTTATTATCAGCCATGTTCTTGTTATTCAGAATTCAAAATGACTAAACAAAGTACGAAGTACATTATGTAAGATCCAATTTTGCTATGTATATTTTCTATTTTAATCTGCACCTATCAAACTCCGTCTCACACTTAATCTAACTGATCGGTAAGTTGCTGCTAGATTGTACATAAGTTTATTAACTTTTTTTCTGAATCCTTATGGACTATATTGTGAATCATGAAATGTTTTTGTAAAAGTAAACTAAAAAAACTTAATCAAACTCCAATCGTGATGGGTTGTAAGACGTGCCAGGTCCGTGCGATTATACTTCAACAGTGGCGGATCCAGAGACCTGCCGGGGGGGGTTCCAAATTTCCTGGGGGGGTTCCAGGTGGGGCAAATTTGAGGAAAATGGTGAAAATACATGATTTTTAAAGAAACTTCTCAGGCTGGGGGGTTCCTGAAGCCCAAAAAACCCCTCTCTGGATCCGCCACTGTTCAATAATAATAATATCATTTGATAAAGCGCCCTATCTAGCGATACGTTTTAAACACATACACTTGGTACAGCACAGGGATCTGAAAATTTTGTACAGCTATATTTGGACCTAAACTAAGTGTTCGGAGTCATTTTAAATGTTTTAGGGGTTTAGATCGACTTTCGGTAAAAATGACACCCCCAAGGATCATATATATACGGATCAATGGGGGTGTCATTTTTCCCGAAAGTCGATCTAAACCCCTATTGCTGTAAAAGATTCTCAGGTCCCTGTGTTGTATAGCAGTTATATGTCAGATTGTCATGCACCAAACAGTATTTTGGTATACGAAGTGGTCATTTGTCAAAAGAGAGGTTATATTTTTTTGCGAACATGTGCGATTTTTGGGTATTACTAACCGTTATCACCAATCGAAAAATCCCTTTGCCAAAGTCATGAAAGTCTTTTGAAGGTATCAAGCTATCAACAAGCTTGACCCGTGAAAGTTTGCTTAAAGAAATTTAAACGTGAAAGAGGAATAAGTTAATCTATTTCAAGAAATTCAAACATGATAGCTCTTCCCTAGACTATAAACACGGCTTTAATATGATTCATCATCATTAGTTGTCGGAACATATCACGCCTTTTCAAATGAAGGTCAAGGTCAATATATATTTTTTTTATAAAACTTTTATATCCATTTACCCATGCACACTCTACAGACTAATAGTATTACTCTTTAAGTAGTGGGGTTCTTTATTAGAACTTATGTGAAATGTTTAACACATTTGGCCCCTGATTTCGAACATCTGTAAATGTGATTTATTTACAAACCCTGCCACCTCACCAACTCACAGGTCAAATACTACTCATGATCGATAAGGCATCATTTGAAGATTTTAACACATTTGGCTTTGTGAACTTTATTTAAATATCAGTTATCACCCTTTACCACAGCACAAACCACATTCCTCTAGGCCTCCTGGTTCCTTAGATGTATTTCACTCTTGTAACTAGGGTAATCCACTTTGACAAATCTGATACTATGCAACAGGCCAAATTACAAAGTATACAACAGGCTATGTACATACACTGTATAACATGACCATAGTCTTCATAGTTCTATTAAGATATTGGACTCCTGCTTATGTGGCCATTTTAGCCAGAGACTTTACCCAAACAAATATCTACATCCAGATGTTGTATCAACATATGAGCATTTTCAAAATGACCCCCCACCCTGGCTCTCAACTCTTATGAACCACTTTGTTCAATTTGGAGCCGTTTGTCATGGGGCCTGGTCATTTATTTAAATGTGATAATTCTGGGATAAAATACATAGCTTTGATTGACTTTTAAACATTAATGCAGTCCTTGAAAGTCTGGTAAAGGCCCATCAGAATGCAACATTAGATCGTTAGGTCAACTCTTGTTCGACCAGTCAGACTTTTTGAAACACCATAAACAAACGGGGCCCTATTAACCAAGTAAGCAACATCTAGTCATGCTTACTCTGGTGCATTTAGAGAAGTAATCAAGAAAAATATGAGAAGTGTTGATGGTGGAAAGAGGAGAGACACCACACAATGGCATAGGCTAACAATGATAGCCTTATTGTTGGACAGGCGAGTTAAAAATCAACAACGGTATGTTTTCCATTCACATTTTAATGCAATGGTCATTTATCAGGACAAATCTGTACGACATGTAACACGTTATGAAGAATTACTTATAATCATGTATCCTGTTGATGGCGAGGTTCCTCAATGACTCCAACAAACACGACATCATTAAAGGCGTTTAATGTTTCTGAGTTACATCACATGTCGACACAATGACTGCATACATTAACAACAACCACAACTCAACTGATAACGATGATGAAACTGATGAAGACGAAGATGATGATGAAGATGATGATGATAGATGACAAGAATGAAAACAAGCAATTTAATATCTTGTTTTTGTTTCTTGTTATAGATCTAAATGTTTTCTAGAATGAAAGTGTTTTCTGACAAAAAAAGAGTGTTTCGTGTTTATTTTTGAAAATGTTTCATATCAAAATGAATGATTCCGTTGAACATTCTGATTACTGGGTAGTTTCCTGCTTGTATTGTCTATCTGGAGAAAAACAATCCCTCTATTTCAACAATGACAAAAACACAACATTACTTTTATCATTCTCCAAGTCTTGACAGAATCTTGAATGTTTAAATTAAACATAAATATCTGCACCACTAGTTACTAGTACACATCCTTCATAAGATGAAACAGTTTATCTCGTAATATCTCGTTTGTTTCTTAGGTCTTCTCAGTAATGATGACAAATCCAATCTCTGGTAGGCATTGATTGCATATGACCTTGACCTTGACCTCAGGCCTGGCTGGTACAGATGATATATCAAATGACCTTAACGTCAGGCCTGGCTGGTACGGATGACATTTCATATGACCTTGACCTCAGGCCTGGCTGGTAATGATGCCAAACGACATTGATCATTTAGAATCCCTCTTGGTACTGCTTGGTCTGCATCTTAGCTATGATCCTCTCTAGTTGTCGGCGAGCCTCACAATGTGGGAAGTTTTCCATGTCGTAATACTGAGGAGCTACTGCTATCAACCTACAACAAAAACTATCATTCTTAGAATCCTTCAAACACATTCTTGTGACAGAAAACATGTAAAATTACACCACTGTTTTATTACATTTGCATGTGTAATCGTGTTTTAAAGGCAATATACCCGATAAATATTTTACTTCCTTGGCTAGTATCTTGTAATTTTATTATACGGATTGTCTCCCTTATCTCATATTTTTCGCCAACTGTGTCATGCAGCCCAAATGTGCTGGAAAAATAAGGAGGAGCCAAACCTGTTGCAAAATTCATAAAGAGTTTTTCGTTATAGGACAATCACTAGGCATGATCAAGTGGAAATAATTTGAACTTTGATGCAAGACAAGCTGATGTAAGAGTTTTTTTTCTCACCTGATACAGGTAGGATACACACTGGACAGAGCCTATATACATTGTATACTGTCCATGTAGAATGCTCCCAATCAAACAGGACCAGTTTGTCTGTCCATTAAGTTTGTTTTAATGTACAATCTTGGAGTGCTTACATCAAATGGTAGACACAGACAGGAGAAACGTGTGTTGAGGGTATTTTTAAAATTTATTTTCCTCAATTTGTAATTCACAGAGCTGACCAAAATGAGGTATTGCTCATTATACTCTTTGGAATATTTAGTACATATATGATTTATATTTCTCCCACCCTCCCGTTTTAGACATGAAAGATCAGCTTGTCACTCCCTAGGGGGAGATAGCCTTGTGTCGATAAAAGAAAAAATAATCATCCCCTACCTAAGTGTATAACAGAGAATCTCCAACCCTCAGGATGATTTTTGTGTTTGTCTAACCCTCGGCAGAGCCTTGGGTTAGACAACCAATAAACATCACCCCTCGGGTCGGAGATTTCTCTGTCAAACCCTCAAGGTAGGGGAGGATTCTAATATTCCCCCGTGACATGTACGTACCAATCAGGTTTGACATCAGACACTGTGCGAATGTAATTCTTTGTGGTCAGTACAAACTCATTGTAAAGAACCCATTCTGGTTTATGGTCAAGGCAGGTGGAAGGATGAAGCTGGACAATCTGACTGTCCTTCACCGTCAGGTAGTGCCCAGTCCTCTCTAAATGGGCAACCTGTTACAAAGGGCAAAGGTCAATATTAGAAGAATGTTTCGTTTACTACTTCAGGAAAGTTTTCAATACACACACAAAGCTATTATTCCTGGTGTAGTTTTCTTCAGCTCTGTTCCCGAGAATATTTCAGTGGTATTTGCCATTTCATAGCTATCTTGATTTATTACCCTATCAAAGGCAGTTGGCATTCATATCAGCTGTGAACAGCTGTGATTACTGGTAACATGTCATCGTTGCTATTAGGTCATAACAGTAACGTTATATACCAATGGCTTCCTGGAACATAGCTTTTACTTAAAGCATACAAAGCATAATTTAAACTCATATATTAAATCTTAATGGATGAATAGTATTTTCTATGAGATTACAATGCCAGGTAATGCAAAATGGGAGAAGGTTTCACGGTATTCAGTATCTTGTTACACCTGTTTGCAACTAATATACATCTAAGCTGTCTACATAAATGCATGTGTATTTACTCATAAACAAGACAAATGTGTGCTGTTTAACGACAAACGACAGGTGTTCAACAGTTAAATTATATAATGAATTGGGGCTGTGTAAAAAGATCACTCTAAATATAATTACAGTCAAACCTGCTCATGGGACCACCTCTATTAAAACTCCACTTTAAATGTTCTCCATCGCCACCCGAACCCGTACATGTACTAACCCCTGTGTTAAGAAACCACATTTTGGACTTTCCGAGGATGGCCTCTTAATGTAGGTCTCACTGTATTCATCAAAACCTGTATTTGCTGCATTTGGGAATTACATTCAAATTTTAGTTAATAGAAATGATAAATAAATGATTAATTAATCATTTCTGACCTGCATGAAAAATCCTGATACAAGAGCCTTCCTGATGTTCAGATAGTAGTCACGGCTGGTGAAGTCGGTGCTGGATCGCCGTAGATTGAATCGATCCATTATCCTGGCCAACTGCTGCCGTACGTTGTCAGCACTCTTCAGTGATCGGAAGTTTACAAAGTTGTCGTAGCACCACTGGGGATCTTCCTGGCCTGAATACAGTAAGGTGTTTACATGTACATTAATTTAGATCAGCAGTGTACTTGAACAAGCAACATTTCTTGACCTATCCTTTTGAATCATCTATAGAAATATGGAGCATTAAGGAGCATCCTTCTTCTCTTCCTACAACTACATCAGACATTGATTTCATTTGTGGTTTTACATAAAACTGTCTTTAATTAAGTAATTACATCAAAAACATAAGTTGATAACAGTTTACATTATGCGCCTAGGACTAAGGTGTGACTAAAGACCCCAGGATTTATTTTGAACTGTTTCAAGAAAATATAATATAAAGCGAAAAATTAGTGGAAGGTACCGCCCTTAAATCACTTATGCTTCTTTCATTCCATCACATACATATGTCAACATTACACCTGGGGCATGCATATATATACAAACACACAACAGAATTCGACATCTACTTACTTTGTTTGAATGCGTGGTATACATTGAGGAGAGTGAGGTGGTCCCCGTCGATGTGAGCAAACCTCATCTTGGACTCATCGGCTGCCTTCTTTGCCTCGGTAGGTCGCACAAAACACTGTGGGACTAAATTGATGATACGGGGTCGGGCACAGAGCCCATCCGCATCGGCATTAGTTATCTAGTCTGTCACAGGCATTACTGATAGGAAGATGACTAAAAGGAAGCCAGTATATTAGCCAGGGTTCTATGGTAAAGTACAGCCAAACACATCATAACATCAACCTTATGGCTTTGATTGAGTACAGCCCAAATCATAATGATGTACCAACCAAACGGCTTGCGATGGAATTATATGTAAAACGTCACAACATATGAACCATGGGTTGGTGATAGTTTACTGCCAAAACCTAATAACATAAGGGTCTGTGGTGGAACAACATGATGGAGTACAGCCAGTATTATACTAACAAGTCACCATTTGGGTTGGTGATTGATTAATGTATAAACATAACAACACATTAGTGTATGGGCCTGTGGTATAATTATAGCTAAAACATATCAATGTGAGGGTCTATGATGGAGAACAGCTCACATCAACTGAAATGTTGGTGAGCAAATATTACCTGGTAACCGTAAGATGTGTAATCATTTACAAACATAACAGTGACTAAAGTATGTTTGTATCACATTAAAGTGTTAGCACCAGCATACAAGGTACACACAGACAAAAAGTATAAATTATTTAAAGCTCAAACACATTGACGTGTCGGTTTCCTGGGGGTAATCTGGTTTCCTTCCAAATTGACACCCTGCACAACTCGTTCCGTAATTGTCGTAAAATAAATAAAGTTTATATACAAATAAATCAACATTTTTCAGTCTACTGTTGCAGTGTAAGTGTCTATAGGACCATTCTTATGATGAAACGATTTGGACGCACTGATGATTATCATAGATTCTACGGAGCCAAGTCTTCCTACTACGGTATACAAATTACCTGTACATGGTATATTATTTTTCAATTAATTGAATACCTGAACATATACAACACCTTTTTCCTTTCATAAAAATTTGTTCAATGAGGTTAAACAACAAACTGAATTCCGGATTGTGAGGTATCTGCAATACTGAATTAAAATGGGATCGCTTCCCTCGATGTAAATGTCTTCATACACAGATGTTCCTAGAAAACCATTGCCCTTTTAAAAAACCCATGTCAAATAGACATTTCAACAGGATAAGGGATTGTACTTCCTTTGGTTATAACTTAGCATATACCTATAGGTCATGTAACTTGCAGCTAGACACAAAAAACTAACTTAAGTTGAAATTTTGCCAAAGTCATGTCACAATTTTTGGCCTAAGCTCAAGACACTAACTGTTGTGTGCAATATTTTCACCGCGCATATATATTACCTGACAGCATGGCAGTTATTGACAAAATCTCATTGGAACAGGTAAAGTCACAACTGGCTATCACCATCTTGGCCAGTTGTGGGTCGAGAGGGAACTCGGCCATCATGGACCCTAGCTCTGTCAGTTCTCCATCGTCATCTAGGGCTGCCAGGTAATTCAACAATTCAAGAGCTCTCATCAGTGTCTCAGGAGCTGGAAAAAACGACATAAGAAATTCTCAGCCATGAAAATATATCTACAGCATATTATTACACACTTAGCCAAAATGTGTTTCAACCAAGCATTTCACTATCTTCTATTCGAACATACCAAACGATATTTTTAACCAGCCAACTTTGTAACACTACATATGAGATATATAAGAAAAGTTATTTGAACAGGTGTGACAGATACATAGCTGAACCAGTCATTTGGCCAGTTGCCTGTTGTTAATGAAAACCCTTGTTTCAACAGAATTAACATACTCTAAGACTAACTCTCTATGAAGTGTATAAATATATATTCAAGGAAACTCAACAAACTAATGGACTGCTTAATGGCTTTTCTCTTTGTCATAAAAAGTGTGCAAGTTCCCCTCCCAGAACTCAACTTCAAACATGAAAGCTCATTTGTATCATGTATGCATTTGCCATCAGTTCTTATATCAATGTAATCTCAAAGCATCAACTCCAGCATACTGCTTTCTTCACTGATTGATGGACATTATGCATTGTTTTCCCCCCCAGAAAACTTACGGATTGTTTCAGGGTTTGAACCCTATTGTGGCTAGTTTCTGGTTTTGAACCCTATTGTGGCTAGTTTCAGGGTTTGAACCCTATTCCCAAGAAATATCTTTGAAAAATACAGTATACAGATTTATTTGTATCATTGCATTAGAAAAATATTTTGCTTGATAAAAATTCACTTCCAGAAACCAACCTGGAGGGTCCATAAAATCAAAGTGGACCAGATCGTCGATACCAAGTTTCTTCAGTTGTAGCACTACGGATCCCAGATTTGACCGTAAGATTTCTGGGTATGTGTTTTCCTGCATTTCCTGTTTGTACGCTCGTTCTGTATACAGACGGAAACATTTTCCCGGCTGCGTTCGTCCAGCTCGTCCTGCCCTCTGTTGGGCACTTGCTTTACTTATCGCTGTTACTAACAATGACTCCACTCGTATACGCGGGTTGTACACCTGGGTAGAACAGAATCAATCCAATTTACACAAATTCGTATTTTCAAAATGAAAAAAAAAATTTCAATACAGGAATTATTGCACTGTTTAGACTTGAAGAATGTATTTCCCAAAGATAAATCAAGAAGTTGACTTTTAATCTGACATGAAGTTAATATTTCAAAATTTAAATATGAATTCAGACCGGGCAGTGACTCAAATTTCAAGTCAGTTTCTGATATGTTTGTTTTGTATAGGTATAATGTAATTTATTCTCGTAATTGTGACATACCTTTTGTTTAGCGAAGCCTGGATCTATCACAAACACGACCCCGTCAATTGTTAAGGAGGTCTCTGCTATATTAGTCGACACAACCACCTTCCTTCCTATCCCTCCATTGGCCTTCTTAGCAGGCGCGGGTTCAAATATCCTCTGTTGTAGGTTTGGTGGAAGTGTGGAATAGAGCGGTATACATTTCATGTCGCCTATTTCTGGTCCCAAATTATCAACTTCTCTTTGTATTCGTTTACATGCTTCATCTATCTCCTGTAAATGAGAAAAAAAACATGTACTGGTTACATCTGTAATAGCCAACTGATGTCTATTGAGGAAATTGTGGTAATAATGACATTATAACTTTGGCCAAAAGAATTATGTGTGTTTCCATTTCCCCTAGTCACTTAATACCTGGAAAAAATCTTTCCTGCCTGAAATTTTTGATAGTCAAAATTAAGAAATTGGATTGAACTAAATACCCTTTTGTAGCATCCACTTATTCGGAACCATTGTAGTGCATTCCAAGAAATTACTATATAATCCAAAATGTTTAAAATGTAGTTTTCTTAAAAATTCCACACATCTTTACAATAATTATTTTATGCTGTTCATTAAAATGACTTTAAAATATTTTGGAAAAAAATTCTATCTTTTGACCATATACCTTAGTCCTACCTGCACTCAAAATCTAATGGAATAGGGAACACATATATAACTTTATTTGGCCTTGCTAGCAAACTGTCTGTTGATCAACATTAAGAACATACTGACAACTGAAAACATTTAGTAGCATAACATCGTAACTTACTAACCGAATGTCTGTTGAGGAACATTAAACATACTGACCTCCTGTCCGGTGAGAAACAGTAGGATGTCTCCCTCCTTCTCCTCACACATGTGTATCTGGACCACGGTCCGTATAGACGCCTCCAAGTAGTCTCGCTCAGGCTCCGGTGTGTAGAAGATTTCTACAGGGTGGGTTCGTCCAGGCACACTCATCAAGGGAGCATTGTCAAAGTAATTCTGAAATCACAATTTTTCTTCTTTCAGATCTCAATCTTCGTACAATTTTATCGGATGCTCAATCGTAAACACTCCAGTGCACAGCGAGTGTACAATAACTGGGCAACAAATCTTTTCATCAAAAATATGTATGAAATACACTGTTTAAACCCGACTCAGTCCAATCCGTATTTCAGCGTAATGTGGCAGAATAATTTGTTATGTCAATGACAATGTTTACATGTATGACCAAGAGAGTCTCTACATCAGGAACTCTCTGCAAACTTCCAAATTATTCTAGCGGTGTCAAGTTCACACAGTATACACAGTACATATATACAAAATATCAGTATTCATATGCATTTCAGTATCCCAGATTAAGCCCCAATAGTAATAGAGAAAGTTCCTACTTAATTCTAATGAGTTTCATTTGTAATCTATAATGTTTTCGTTTTAACTATTTTGTTTCAACTTGACAAAAAGGATTTACGGAGAAAACAATCAAATCTCGCCCACTTCACTGTACCTGAAACTTTCCTGCATCCAATGTGGCACTCATGATGATGATTTTTAGATCTGACCTCTGCTTGGCGACCTCTTTCAGCAGACCCATGAGGATATCTGTAGCCAGCGTACGTTCGTGAGCCTCGTCCAGCATGATGATGCCGTAATTTTCCAACAGTGGGTCAGACATTCCTTCTCTCAACAACATACCGTCTGTCATATATCTGTCAAACACAAAAGTGCAAAATTGAATGTAATCACTTCTGTGTTTTCATTTAAAGCTATTTGCTAGCAAAAACAGAAAGCATTTCATCAACTCTGAACTGGCAATTTTTTCAGCATATACAGATTTATAATATTATACCATGTTTATTCTTAAAATTCAATACCCGTTTTAAAACTAAATAAAAACACTGTACAGGAAGCATGTCTTTGTATTTTAATGTTAAAAAAATCTGATTTCAGAGGATAAGTTGAGGAGTTATTTTCTATTTGGAGATATATAGATATAAAAAGAATGTTAACCTATATACATACATGAATCTCTGTAACATTTTTATTTTTTATTTTTCAAACATCGTTACAGAAAAAACCCATTTGAGACCCTATTTGGAATTGTGACAAAGTGAGTTGTAGAGCTAGGAAATAAACATGTGCTTTTCAGAACAGGAGTTTAAATATTGATAAACATATATCTTACTTGAGCAGTGTTTTTGATGAAGTACAATCCTCGAATCTGATACTGTATCCGACCTCCTGTCCAAGGCCGACGTCCATCTCCTCGGACACACGCTGAGCCACTGACATGGCTGCCACTCGTCTTGGCTGGGTACAAGCCACTCCTTTCTTGGCAAACCGTGCTCTCACCCACTCTAGGCACCATTGGGGAATCTACAGCAGACAAGATACAATTTGTCAAAACAATTTAATGGGTCCAATTTTATTCTTCCAAAACATGTCAAGTTCTTAGATTTGGGTTGTTTGTGCTTTACATCCTATTAACAGCTATGATAATTTAAGGATGTGCCCGGTTTTGCTGGTTGAGGATAGCCGGAGTACCTGGAGACGAACCATCAACCTGTTGGCAGCACCTGTTGACTGCCCCACACAGGCCTTGAACCTGCGACCCAGTGGTGGAGGACTAGTGATTATAGACGATCAAACGCCTCTCTCATTTATAACATAAAATAATTCCGTTATTTTGTAATCATAAACTTTCTTCAGAATTTATTACAGTGTAATTTACATATGTTTTAACCGTCTTTTTATATATTATGTAATTTCAAATTAAGAAGTTTGATCCTAGTTGATCACACACCTGTGTCGTTTTGCCGGAGCCGGTCTCTCCCACCAATACCAAGGTCTGGTTTTTGTGTAGTACATCCATAAACTTCTCTTTGTATTCCCATACTGGTAACTTGCTCCTTTTGTTAAATAACTCAAAGTATCTTGGAGAGTAGGGTAGCCCTGGTAGAGAAAATCAGGAATACAATGAATCAAATTGTTTTGAATTTTATCATTAAAATATTAAAATTGTTTAATATTTAAGATTTTAAATCTTTAAAAGTGTGTAACAATATACATAAAGGTTTTCAGTATTTGTTGTTTCTCTAATATTCAAAACATGAGTTTTCAGAGTTAAATATTTTGTGTTCTAAGTTGAGAATGACTGCTCAATTCGAAAATGATTTAAGATCACCATGATGTTGTAACTGATAAATTCGCCAAGTACTGGAATCGTGAAATATTCCAACACATTTTGTCCAGGTTTTAATTATTAAAAATAAGTTTAAATTTCTAACACTTGTGGAAAAAAGTCATGGAAATTGGCCTAAAAATGGTGAAATGCTCCAAACATACAACATATTCAAATGTGGATATAAGTGCATATTTCTTTCATGGTTCTCCTGGGACCCATAAACAAAACACAAACCATGAACAATTTACTCTGTAATAGTAAAGTATTTGTATGTACCTGTGAATGGGTTCATTTGTATCTGTGGCTTGGGTATATTGAACTGTTCGAATATTGATTTGGGTTTTTCATCTTTGACTCCATCTTCATTTCTGAAAGAAAAAGAATACTAAATAAGTATTTAATCATATCGCTCTACCCATCTACATATCATGAATTACTTAGTTCAATATTTACAATAGCTTATCCAGGTCGCTTGATTGCCAAATTAAACCTGGCAGGAAGTTCAGCGACATTACATATCGACGTAAAATACAACTTTTTCTTTGAAATACATCTAGAATATGTTTTAACATGTCATAACTGCGGGAACCGTGGCTTCTAGGCTGGATATTTTGTGTGTGTGTGTGTGTGTGTGTGTGTGTGTGTGTGTGTATGTGTGTGTGTGGGGTTATTATGTTATTATGGCTGATAAAAAATCAAAAACACTAAAATAATTGGGCCTAGAAGCTACGGTTTCCGCAGCTACATATCATGTCATCTTTTTATTATTGGCAACAAATTCAATCTGGAGATGCAGAATTTTATGTTCACCAAGATCCTGTAGGGACTAGCTAGGTAACCTTTGGTTCCAGAATACAACTACCTGGTAATTTGGCAGCCATGCAGGCAAACCATGTCTAAGCCTGTTCCTCGGTGGGAATGTTCTTCTTTAAAAAGACTCATTGTCTCAGGGATTGGTCATTCAACAAATGAAGAATAGGACATGAAGCTGTTTTCCAACATCCCTTAATCTAATGATGAATATAATTTTTCATTTAGTTTATCCATAGGTGTTACAGTGCATCACCCGTGAAACAATGGTCACTGTTTGACCATTCAATTTCTATAGGATATCGATGTTGCCGACACTTTCTAGAACCACTGTGTTTTGGTTTGAAAGTTAGCTGCCTTTCATGCAATTTGAATACCAGTGTCTTTGGGATCCTATATATCTGCCTCTATTCTTGGGTGGACACTGGCAAGCAGTGTTTTTGGGGTTGCAGAGACTTCTCCATCTTTGAGGTATTCGACTCGTGCCTTATCTTAACAGGATCTATGCCAAACCCATTCTTAATACGAAGCCCTTAAGCTCCCTTGTCTCTGTCATCGGTTCTATCCCAACCTCATCACCAAATGAAGGATGCTCACTTTTATCTGGGGATATAAAGGGAATGCCGGATGTCACCTTGGCCAAAGTAGGTGGAACCAAGGATATCATTACTCGATCCAATATATACTAGGGAATGGCCATGGGGGTACAGACATTTCAGTTTTTAGTCATTTGGATACCGAGATACTTTTTTATAAGATGTTTCATTACTTTCCAAAAGTTTTTTCAATATTTTGTAAGAATTTTGGCTCATGGACGAATGTTTAAAGTTGTATTTTGTTTACTTTTTGCGTCCTGTGCATTGCTGATTTTATTGATTTCAAGTTTTTGCTCTGCATTTTTCATCTTTGCAAAAAAGGTAACGAAACCTCTTATTCTTAGATACCAAATCTGCCAGGTATCGAAATGTCTAGGATTCCTGGGCAGTTTGGTTTGTGTAAATGTGGATATTTGATTATCATACATGTACCTGCAATTATTTGCCAATGCCTTATATTATTGATAAGAAAGAGAGCGAGCAAACCTGTAACACAATTTTCAGTTTGGTCGCCTGCTTGGGCCACGGGGATGTATTATTCTCCATTACTCGGGTGTTTGACTGGCCAGGGACAATATCATTACAATGTGAATACTGCCATTGTTTATTGCAGGTGTATCTTGTTTAGGCTATAACTCCACCTGTTACGTACATATACGTACCAGTTCCATACATGTTAAAGATGTGGATTAATTAGGTTGCCTTGCAAGCGTCAAGCTGTAGGGAATTTCCCTTTAGCTTAGCGGTAGAGCATTGTGCTGGATAGCTGTGAAAACGTAGCTTTATGATGACGAGAGATTTATTTTATATATTGCATCGTCAGAGCTAAGAAGTGGTCCTTTGCCAACTAATGGAGCAAAATCAGAAGTGTTAATCTGTAAGATTGCATATAATTCACGCCTCATATGAGTATAATGTTATCAAAATATTGCATAATTGTTGAAAAACCGAATCCTTACCCATGCAAAAACTCTTTTACGAAATTTACAAAGTCTGTCTTGGGAAAAAAATTAGAAACGACCGCCATGACAGATCACGCGTGATGTTATCTCAATTATCCTTTCTATATATGGACTGCATGGCCAAATATAGTATTACTACTGATGCCGCCATGTTCACTACAATTTCCATATTGGGTCATGACACCCATATTTGGACGTGTGACCTATATCGGAAGATAGACGCACTTTCCAACATGGCGGTCAACATCGCGGCACATTCAGATGTTCAGGCGGAGCCATGTAACAGATGATTTTAATCAGATTGCGGACCAATGTGCTGTCAATTAATTCTAAAATCGCCCCGGTGTGATTCACACCGGGCCTGCTCCATTACAAGGCATGGGATCGATTTAATACCCGGCCAGGGCAAAGGAGGCCGGGTGTTAATATTAGTACTACGGGCTGGAGAGCCAAGGGTCGTGGTTTCGAGCCCCAGCAACGGCACTATCTTTATCACTTTTCCTCGTCCTACTATACATACATTACATCTGAATTCAAGAACATTTGTTGTAATATAAAGAAACCTGAATTGATTTAGCCGTACTGTACAGATAGACCTGGAAGGGGTCATTTGGCCATTTGACACCTCCATGTTCCAATTGTCTTTTTTATTTCTACATATGATGGCCTCTCTTAAGTTCGATATTGACTAAAAAGTTCTGTAAATGGCCCACTGCTCTCAAATTCCAGGGTTTCCCCCGCAAACCGACGTAGAAAACAATGGTGCATGTGTGTATGGAAGGGAGGGGGGGGGGGGGTTAGTATCATCATAGACAGAACATCAATTAATATTCGAAACCATTGGCAAAATCAATGACAACCCTTTCAACCTATTAACTCATCATTAAAAGGGTTCCCCACTGTTATTGACAGCAACATCGTGGTTGTTCAATTACCGTGTCCTTTTAGAGGAGTCTCCAACATCTATCCGGTGTCTCTTCGACATCGTGGAGGACAGTTTACCATACAATAAATATACGTCAGTTCGTCGTTCTACAGAACCACAAGGTATGATGGGATAGGTTTTTATCTATTCGGGTAAAAGGTAACTAGAATGCCCGGATGACAGCATGTTAGGCACATCAATTACTTCCGGTTTCATTTTGACCCCCGACGTGGTTTGGAGATAAACAGATCGACCTAATGGATTTTAAATCTAAGTACCCCCCTTTCGAATTGCAGAAATCACGATTCGACCAGGTTTGTGTTTTTGTGCCCTTGTGTAATGTCCATTAGTACATCTGAATATATATTGTCAGCAGTGCGTCTGCGTCCCGGTCTGTTCAAATAATATCGAAAAACAGCTGTTAAGCGTTTATGATAACATTTCCAATGCTTTATTTTACAAAATTCCCGTCTAAATATCGATGATGCATCATTCAAATTCAACAGTCACAATCGTTACACTTTTCGGCAGGAGGCGTTTGACAGAACATTTAGAAAGAGTTATCGCTCTTGGTACGGGCGCACGACGTGAACAGAACACAGGCACTTGAGTTGGCTATATAACAAAAAAACCCAAAAAACCGGTCCGAAGCCTATGCACTTGTATAGATGTTTATAGGCCGATCAGTTTCTAGACTATTTATATCTCTCACTTTGCCTGTGCATCATTGTTATGTTATCATTCAGGGGTGGCAATTTTATTGAAAGTTGATCTAAACTGTTAAAACATGTACAATATTTCTGAACATCTTAGTTTAGGTCCAAATATAGCTGTAACAAATTATCAGGTCCCTGTGCCTGTGCACAGGGGTTTGTCTCGATAAGATATTTATAAGAATTACAGACGTTTGGCACCAAAACCGTTATGCCCCAAACCAGTTCGCCCCATTTTTTTTCTACGTCACCCAAATTTTCAGTTCAGTTCGCCCCAAGTATGACAGCCATATCGCCCCAAAATTTCTTTTTGACCCATAATCTTGTTCGTGCCAAAAGCTATATCGCCCCAAAAATTCTGTATTGCCCCAAACGTAACGAACCTATATTGAACTATAAAAGGCAGTTAATGGGAGGTAACTCTTTCAATTTTAGAGCTGTGACTATTTCCTTATCACTATCAATTATTCATTTGTTGCTTCGAATAATTTCGTGTGGAAATAATTTTATTATCTTAAACATATATATCATTTAAATTATACACATACATGCTTTACATATATATTATAGATATGATAAGTTAGCTACCTTCGGCACATGTGGAAATAATCTAATTATCTTTTACATATACCCGAATATCATTGTACAAATATACATATATATATAGAGACAGATAATTATTAATTACTTACAACAACAACAACGACAAATGATACAACATATAATAATATAACTCAAAGATATATATCATGCACAATACAGAATACATTACTTAATATTTTTGTGGATACATTTTCCTAACGTTGTTATTTTAATAACACCTGCCACCAATGCGGCGACACAAAATAAAAGGAACTAGGAAAATAATTGCCCCTGATCCATGTAATTTACAACAGATCATCGATATATGGCTTTGTTGTATGTTTAATAGCTACAGGCATCAAAGTTTGATGATAAGATGTACATATACCTAAAAGAAATATGCTCTTTATAATAGCACTAAACATACAACACATGAAAACATGGATTTGTTGTTTATTTTGAAGCCACATGCATCGTTGTATGATGAAAGAATGTACACAATGCTACATTTCCGTAAGTCACATCTGAAAACGAACGTTAAAGGAAACACATCACTTTTACTATTCCGGCTTTGCAGATGCACCAACCTTTCCGTAGTATACACGAAACAATAGTTATTCCCCTTAGCACGGTAAACACAATCACATATAATCATATTTAACTACGAATTTCCTAAGAAAATGGGAAAATAAGCAAGCTCCTTTTTTTTGGAAGGGGGCGTTACGTTTATATTTTTGGGGCGAACTAGTTGAGGCGTTATGCTTTTTTTGGGCGAACTATTTGGGGTGATATGTTTTTTTTGGGGCAATATGGTTTTTGGGGGCGATATGAATAAAATTTGGGGCGAACTGGTTTGGGGCGTAACTGTTTTGGGGAGAAACGTCTGACACCCTATATATAATATATATTTAAGTGACGGGTGTGTTTATTTGTGGCATATAAAGTTTAGAAATGAACCCCTGTGATTCAAGTTTGACCAAGTATTAGTTTTGGTTTTTTCTCTTTCAACACTGAAAACCCAGTCCATTAAAAAAAGTATATTCATTGATTGTAATATATATAAAATAAATACATTTGTGTCAAAAATTAACAATTGTTGGGAAAAAATCCAAAGTTTAAATTTTGAAAACTTGTTTAATCCTTGTTCATTTAATTAAAAGCAAAAAAAACCCTTGTGGTTTACACGTATAAGATATTATTCTGTTCTAACATATTGGGTGACACTTTGGTGAAATAATTGTGAAGATACCATGACCAATCAATGCATCATATTTATTATGTTTTAATTATTTCTTTCTTTTTCAGGGAACGTTTTATGGACGGTTACGCCATTTCCTTGATGTTATCGATCCATCCACACTGTTTACCTCAGAAGTGAGTTCTATACAATGAAGTATTGTACAGTAATATCGAAATACTGGAAATTAACACTTCTGATAAAACAATGCTGTCAGACTTCTTGTAACTTTTATCTTCTGTAACATTTTCTTTACATCAGCTGTTTCATAATTAATGAAAATATGCAACATTGTATTGTTTTAATGATTGAAATTCAATGGTGTTATTGATTAACTGGTTTGGTTAAACTTCTTATTGAGAGATAGTAGAAAGATGCTTTTTTTCCATCAGTACCCCACCCCTATCCTTGTAAATTGTTGGAGAGAGAACTAACCAATTTGAGTGTGCATATCATACCTTCTAACCCACCTCAATTCCATGAATTCACCACTGGAATAAGTAATATATATATATATATATATTTGTTTTGTTTAGAGCAAACTGAATGAATGTAAACAACTGTTGGATGACTACAAAAACAACAAGACACCACCAGGCACAACAGATGAACAGTTATGGAGGGCCCAGAAAGTCAAACAGGTGAGTTTGTTTTACAAAACCGAGGGTGCTGCTTGCTCAAATTACAGTGGAGGTGAACCAATATAACTTTCATCTAAGAACACTTTGAATCTTTGTCCATAGGGTACTCTGAATTATTCTGACATTTTATTGACTTTTTTTTATATCGGTGTGTCGTTAATCGACGACAGACCGATATAAAAAAAGTTGATAAAACGTCAGAATGATAAAACAGTGTAATAATGTATAATAATGGCATCATATCTTTTTCTTCTTTCCCTGTTTTTGAAATTCTGTCAATGTATGTGCCATTAGGTGTCGCTGTCTTAATTAAGATATTTTCTGATTATTAACACCTATAAATAGTGTGTGTAATGACACTGATTTTACTAAGCCCTTCTTGTTTTGTCCCTTTGCTGTTCAAAAGTTTTAATTGGTGTTCCTGTAAATATAATTAAAAAACGGGTTCGTAAGAAAGAGGAATGTTTTTTTTCTTTCCGTTCTTCATTTTGTCCATCAGCACATCCAACCAACACCTCCTTATCCTTTATCACAAGTTATGCAAATTCAAATTTTAAAACTTTGATGCATATTCCTCTTTTGAAATGTATTGGCCACAATATTACCTCAGTGAAAAAATCAGTCTTTTGTGAATGACAGCAAATAAATTGAATTTCATTTTTTCACAGGCAATAATTCACCCTGATACTGGCGAGAAAATTTTCGTGCCATTTAGAATGTCGGGTAAGTGTTTATTTTGATTAAACCTTCTCAAATTATAATATCACTGTTATTTCAGCATTGACAGAATAATTAGTTTTAAAACTAATCGAAGAAAGTGTTTTATGAAAGAAATACTGTGAATTTTCAGTACATGTAGTTTTTATAATCGGCCTTATAAAAATCTTTTTTGAATTTCACCAAAATTTGAAAACTGAAAATTAACACTCACTTTGACCATGAAGTGTACATAAAAGAACAAATTTCCTGGAAAACAACTCATAAACAGTATCTGCTTGCAGATGAAAATGAAATGATTATAGATGACTGCTAGTGTACATGTACTTATAAATCTGGGCAGTAGGTCATATTAAGGATCCCTGTTCCACTGTACTGTGGTATTTTGTATAAAGAGAGTAATCACTCCTTAACTTCGTTTTGGACATAAATATAACTGTAGGTCAGTTGATGCAGAGCACTTCCATTGACTGACCATGGGTCAGGCCGCCGGGTATCTCAGTCCCTTAAGAGTAGAACAATCTGAAGTCCTGGTCTGGCCACACTCCTTTTTTTCTTTTTACGCTCAGAAACTGTTGTTGATTATTTCTGATGAATCCATAGGGACCATCTGTATTATCTTTCTTAAAAGTCCCGTAAGATATGGTTTTCTTTTCAGAAATAATTCATCAAAATTAGTCATCCCGGAAAAATCAGTTACCACTACCTAGATACAGGTTCTATCAGTGGTATGGGGATCTTTAAGTGTTTCCTTTTTTTCTACCTGATTATTCAAAAGCAGCTATGACAACAATGTAAACCTTATTTTTCTGTTCATTAATTTTAGGTTATGTGCCTTTCGGGAGTCCAATTGTAAGTGTTTTCTTTTATTGGCAATTCATTAAATAGAAAGGAATTTAAAGACCACTTCATTTCATTTAATTGTTCTTGAAGTAAAGATCCCCCCTCCCCCCGCAAAATAGAGGAATAGATAAGAACTAAACTACTGTGCTTCTGCTGGAGAGACACACGTGCGTCAGCTAGCTGGGGCTGTACTTCCGGCAGTAACACGGTAGTTACCTCCCTTTTTTGAGGTAGCGCAACACGAATGAATGGGACAGTCGTGCAAGAGACGAATGAAAGAGTGAGTGAATGAAATGATATTTAGTATGTTGAAATTGATGCTTTATGTTTACATTCAAATTGTCATAACAGTATATCATGTTACGATACTTATGTTTTTTTATCTGATCTAAGCCACCTAGTGCTATAATGGACTTTTGATAGCGAGGAGCTGGAGTGATGGTGAGCGAGGAGAGGATAAAAAAAATATAAGCAGGCCTGATATAAAAATTAAAAACAAATACTTATGAATAATGAATAATATAAAAAAGTTATAAATCGATAGTTTATGAAAGAGAGTGAGAGATATAACGCCATGAAAGAGAGTGTGGTGTATGGAAACCCTCCTACGAGAGGACCCGATTTGTCATCTTAATATTTAACAATATCATAATTGTATGACTTTTTAATGAAAAAACACAAAAAAACCAACAACAACTTAACTACCGTAATACAGCAATTTAGTCAACACATTTTACTTTGCAGTGACACGAGGTCGCCTATGTTAACTATTTACTGAGCAACTTTATACCAATAAACACTGGAGTCCTTCAGCTGATGGTTCAGTTCACTGTTCAACTCCCATTCAATAGTCCAAACTGAACTCTCACAAGGGCAACAGATTTGTAGGGTTTATATTAATACATCTTGTATTTTCATGTATTTTTTCAGACTGTGAATATAAATCAACAATAAAAGATCCATGTAAGATCAAAGCTATACCATACAGCATGCACTGCGCCCTGTATAAGTTGCAACCTTTTTCAACCAGAACTTTTCAATTTGGGTGTCACTGATCTACATAAATATAACTTCCTTACTAAAAACAGTCATAATTTTGTTTAACTCATGATCATTCACCTCTGAAATTTCATAATGAACTATTCTAACCTTTGAATTGGAAGATTTCAAATGTGTCTTCAGGGGTGAATGAGTAAACTGAATTATCACCTTCTGATGTTTTAAAACAAATAATGATGAATTATTATATTGCTTACATTTGTACCAGTATTCTTGACTGTAATATTTTTCACTACACATTGGATTATAAGCCTTTTTCAAGGACAATATAGGGCAAAAAATAAAATAAAACATTTTTTATCTGAAAGTTACCTAAATACCTGTCTATTTTTATATTAGTACTAGTTAATTTTTTAGGTCACCTGAGACAAAGTCTCAAGTGACCTATTGCGATCGCCTTTTGTCTGTCGTCGTCCGTCGTGCGTCCGTAAACAATTTACATTTTCGACTTCTTCTCCAAAACCCCGAAACCAATTTCAATGAAATTTTGCAGAAACCTTCCATGGCCAAAGGTCAACTAAAATTGTGAATTATATGGTCCCCAGCCCCCAGGGGTCTGAGGGGCGGGGCCAAAAAGGGTAAAATTGACTGAAATTTCAATAATCTTCTTCTCAAGATCCAGATATGGTAGAATCAAATACTCTTCATAGATGGAAGGGTCTTAAGGTGCTCTACCAAAATTGTGAATTTCTTGACCCTGGGGTCTCACGTTTCCCCCTGGGGAGGGGGTAAACTTTACTATAGTTTATATAGGGAAATCACATTTTGGACCAACATTTGTTTAATTTCCATTGGAAGTAATTCAATTTGGGTTAGCATTATCAGTATTAGGTAGCAGTTTGATAGTATGCACCTATGAGCCCTGACTGACCCCCAGGGGCTGATGGGTGGGGCCAAAAAGGGTTGAATTTACTGAAATTTCAAAAATCTTCTTCTCAAGACCCAGATATGGTAGAATCAAATACTCTTCATAGATGGAAGGGTCTTAAGGTTTATGACCCTAGGGTCTCACGTTTACCCCCTGGGGAAGGAGTGGGGGGGTAAAATTTATTATGGTTTATAATGGCAAATGATACTTTGAATATTACATGTTAATAACTTGATTGGAATTATAACCTTGAGTTGACAGTTTGATACTTTGAAAATTTTGAGCCAGCCCTACCCCCAAGGGCTGAAGGGTGGGGCCCAAAGGAGTCAGTGTGCTAAAATTTCTTCATTTTCCTTGTTTAGAATCAGAGGTGCTAGTTTCAAATACTTTTTAGTCTTAAATCTGTATGCTAGATATTGAATAAGGTGGTTTTATTGTTTTTTGTCACTTTGAGTAATATTTCTGTTCATGTTAAAAACAAAATCAACTCTCTGTATAAATATATCAGGTGACCGTTAAGGCCCATGGACCTCTTGTTTGTTGTTGTGTCCGTCAAACCTTTTTATATCATCAACATTTCTCAGAACATAAGATGACGGTTGCTTCTATATTGATGTTTAGATATATACATGTATATCCAGTAGCCGTACTGAAGATAGGCCTCTGGTTACTCTTAAAAATATACTTTATCAGTTCATGACAGGGACAAATGAATGGATATATGATATAAAAATCTCAATAGTCAGGTATATAATGTCACAGATTAGCAAAAGCTACATGTACGTGGATTTTTTTCTGACTTTTGAGGCTTTGCCTTTTTCATATTTCATTTGCAGGCGAAGTGAATGCAAAACTCAGATGGATCCTATACGGGAATATATCCGCCCTAAAACCTATAACAATAATGCTAGTAACAAATCAATCTACAATTGTTATTCGGATTACTGTCCTCTCATTGGTGAAAAAAATTAACACAAAAATACATCCATTCCGGAAAAACAACTCGCCTCCGTTGATTTAGTTGTATTTCATTACAATCGCTTGTTACGTAACGTTTGTTTATTAACGACAACATGCTAACCAAATCTTACCTTGTATGGAATTTGAACTTGTGAGCTTTTTCCCATCTTTTTGACAGGATATCAATATCCACCTTCACTTTAGTAAGACGAATATCGGCCTTGCTTGTATTTCCGATATCAGCGGTAGCAACAGTCCGACCACAGGGGGTCGTTATAAATGTCTGGAATACACATATGCTATACTGATATGGGGCACAACACATATATAGTGTATGTTTATGTGCATTGTGACCCATATCAGTATAGCATATGTGTATTTCAGACATTTGTACCGAACCCCTGTGGTCAGACTGATCAGAACTGTGTTTGGTCTGTCCGACATTACTAATATTAATAGCCGTTTTAGACTCGTCGGTGCTTTAGTTAATGTCACAAGAGGATGTTGTTTCATGTGTTCCTACAGCTGCTTGGAAGAAGTCACGTATCAAAAAAAATAAAAATATATATATATAATAGTACACTTGGATTTTTGATGTGCAAGCAGCTGCTTATTTCCTCACGTGGCAGCTACGCGCCTGATTTTGACAATATAGGACTACTTTTTTAAACTGACTTTATCCTGATGATTTTTGACTTGTCAGCCATCTTTATTCCTAGGTTGTAGGTCTATTGCTGCCCAACCCTTCTATAAGGTGACTTTATCCTGATGATTTTTGACTTGTCAGCCTTCTGTATTCCTAGGTTGTTGGTCTGTTGCTGCCCAACCCTTCTATAAGGTGACTTTATCCTGATGAGGTTTGACTTGTCAGCTATCTGTATTCCTAGGTTGTTGGTCTGTTGCTGCCCAACCCTTCTATAAGGTGACTTTATCCTGATGAGGTTTGACTTGTCAGCTATCTGTATTCCTAGGTTGTTGGTCTGTTGCTGCCCAACCCTTCTATAAGGTGACTTTATCCTGATGAGGTTTGACTTGTCAGCTATCTGTATTCCTAGGTTGTTGGTCTGTTGCTGCCCAACCCTTCTATAAGGTGACTTTATCCTGATGAGGTTTGACTTGTCAGCTATCTGTATTCCTAGGTTGTTGGTCTGTTGCTGCCCAACCCTTCTATAAGGTGACTTTATCCTGATGAGGTTTGACTTGTCAGCTATCTGTATTCCTAGGTTGTTGGTCTGTTGCTGCCCAACCCTTCTATAAGGTGACTTTATCCTGATGAGGTTTGACTTGTCAGCTATCTGTATTCCTAGGTTGTTGGTCTGTTGCTGCCCAACCCTTCTATAAGGTGACTTTATCCTGATGAGGTTTGACTTGTCAGCTATCTGTATTCCTAGGTTGTTGGTCTGTTGCTGCCCAACCCTTCTATAAGGTGACTTTATCCTGATGAGGTTTGACTTGTCAGCTATCTGTATTCCTAAGTTGTTGGTCTGTTGCTGCCCAACCCTTCTATAAGGTGACTTTATCCTGATGATTTTTGACTTGTCAGCTATCTGTATTCCTAGGTTGTTGGTCTGTTGCTGCCCAACCCTTCTATAAAGGGGGTTATTCTGTGGCAGTGGCTCAACCAGAGCCACAATGCTTGTGTCAACTACTCCAACAGGAATGCAACCAAGGTGCGTACTCTTTGATTTATTTGTAGATTTATTCTTTAATGGAGATAGAACTAGTGTAGCTATTGAAAACAATAAAAACAAATGTTTTCCACATAAAGTGAGCCTGCATTTCAAGCTAATATTTCTGATAAACAAATATATCATATGTCATGCTATATATGTTATTTTCATAAGTGTTTACTTAACTTACAAATTCAAGGTTATAAAAGTTATTGATCAGAAAAAAATATTTCTCAAAATGTGACAATATTTGCTGAATGGAAACCTTTATTCTTTTGCATACTTTTGAAATTAAACAAATCCAGATACAAAATAGAATCTTACATCTGTTGGTCCAATATTAAATTACTACACTTTTTACACAATTATTACAAACCAGAACTACACAAACTAGAACTACACAACAGTTGGATGTTTTTGATTTCTTCATTATCAAAAGCACTTAGATATAGGTCTGTTAAAGTTATATAATGACGTCACATAATGAAATTTGAGTTTGTAGCTGTTATGTGTGACTAGTATTAATTGTGTAATTGGCATGAATATTTTGCTTTGAACCACTTATTAGTAGGAACTTGAATTAGCAAACTAGCAATAACTGTTAACAAAAATTGTACCTTTTCTTTAAATGTGCTTCGATAAATGCTCACAAGATATCTTAATACGTACTTAAATTACTTTTTCTCAAGAATTATATCATCTTAATACTTGAATTACTTTTCTCAAGAATCATTTGGAAGATATATAATTTAGAAAATATGATTGATTAGGGTATAATGAACGTCATTTTGAATGTATTACAGCCGACCCCCACCAGTAGGTTCATGGCTGGGTATGTGGGCGCTGTCACTAGTGCTGTTTCCATCGCAGTAAGTATCTTAATTCTTAGTCCAAAGACGATATGGTGAAATACTTATCACTTCAAATCAACATCATTATATTTGCTTGATAACAAATTTGAATAAAAATTGTAAAACAGAATTAAGAGGTTTTGTTACAACTTCATTACTTAAACAAGTATTTTTTTTGTTCTGATGAAGGCACGCCTAGTGTGTTTAAACATGTCAACATTGTAATAAATATTGCTGATCACATTCAAGTGGATGTTGTCCTATCATCTTTACTTTTAAGTATATTTTTGAGTGAGGGATCCAGCTCTTGAAGGTTTGATAGATGGAGCTTCAATTTTCAGAGCAATACCGCTTTCTCAAAAATATTGCTCTCCCAAAAATCCTTAGTCAATAAACTAAAGGAGAGTTACTTCCCTTTACCCTGTGGTAAAGGCACAATTCTCCTTTCTTTGAAATATTTGAGTTACCAGGTATGTATGTCCCTTACTAAATTAAATATCAATTCAATTTTTACAGGTGGCTTTGAATCAGTTTATCCGGAAAGCTGATAAATTCAGTCCTGCAACAAAATCGTTGATCACCAGATTTGTTCCTTTTCCAGCCGTCGGTAAGTCAGAATACTTTGTTATTTGTTACTCTCCTGTTCGGCAGGAATATTTCATGATAAATATATCTATGTTATCCTATCATGTAACCAGAATATACATCCTGGACCTCTCTAAAGGCAAAGGTTCAAGAGAGTTTACATCTTGGACCTTTTTATAGCAACAGATTCAAGGGAGTTTACTTAACATACTATTATGTAAATATCGAAGGAAAGTATGAAGTCACTGGACCTCCCACCCCCACCCCCACCCCGGACCTCCGCCCAGCTACTACATGGGGTTGATCTACATTACCAAGTTATACATTTATCACAATTGTCTACATTTGTACCGATGTCTTGTTTCACATGTGTTAGATTTTCAAACCTTGCTTGTCCTCAGCGGCAGCCAATGTCTGTAATGTGTTACTGATGAGGAACAATGAGCTGGCCGAGGGCATAGATGTTGTGGATAGCAGCCAGAATGTGGTCGGCACGTCAAAAGTAGCTGCCAAACGGGTAAATTTTCTTCAGAAATATGTCAACTTTTCTTACAAAACAAGGTTTTGTATGAATGTGAAATCGGTTGCTCATATCTTGTTTTTCACAAGAAACAATTCAAAACTATAAACCTTGTTGTTTGTTGCAAGTTTGATGCAATGGATCAATAAGAAAAGAAAAATTGATCAAATTCAATGTTGTGAAAGTATCTATTTTTTTGTGTAGTAACTTTTTACACATTGTCAGAACCTGTGTGAGTAATTTAGTCACCAGGATATTTAAGATTATAAATTTTGAATTTCGTGTAATTTGCATTGATTTATTGAAAATAAGCAAAAAGTTTCCCGCTTTTCAGCTTTATGAAATTCACTTCCTCAAAGTCGTAATTTTTCGTTTGATAAACGTCAGTATTTTAACTGTAAATGAAAAGCTGCCATATTGTCACGTCAGGCTCTACGAGAGACTGCTATCACAAGGATGTTCCTGCCCGCCCCAGTTCTGATGCTGCCTCCGCTGGTCATGTCACTGGTAGAGAGGTACATGTTCGAAGTTCATCCATCTAAAAAATCTAAGGTTTCCCACTCTCAATAAAAATATCTTCTTTTCATTCTTTGAATATGCTATGACAAGATCAAAGGGCCTGTATGCGTCAGCTTGTTGATGATACAAGTAGACTGGTTTGATTTTTAATATAAGCGCGGCAGCATAAAAGATGACCAGTTTGAAGATAGGTTTCTCCCCTCTGTAATCTTTGAAGGACAGGTATCTGCCAAGAGATTGGTCAGCATTTTATACCAGAAACCAATCAAATTGCTCAATGCATGCCATCAGTTTGTCCCAGAGTATCCCAAGTATGTAGAGAAGATATGTAGATCTAGAGTGGAACCTAATAAATTCTTAGAAACAGTTTGTAATATTTTTCAAATCTATCAAGAATTTGTTTCTGTTGAATAAATATTTTGCCTTTTTTTATAAATTTTCTTACATACGAATTGTATCACATATGATTGGGAGTCATGAAATTATAATTCCTACAGCCAATCGAAATTGAAAAGATGACTAACTTTATATAGTAAAGGAGGTTGTATTCTTTGGACTATATCTGGATTTTAGTTTGCATGATTTTAAAAAAATGTTGTCAAATTCAGTTTAATGTTGTCATTGTTTCGGACAAAACTGATTCCAAGTTTTGGGCTTATTTATTGTCTTCATATTTAGGCAGGAAACGCATTTTAAGTAATATTGATATTTTTTGAAAATTCAAATCGAAAATAAAATATATCGAGCTGATTTTCTGTATAAAATCCTCTTCAGCCGTGAGTTAAGAGCTTGTCAATGCAATCTATCGTCCTGTATCAGAAACAATTTCTTGATTCACTGCTTATATTTCTCATTTAACGAACCACTTGTAAATGAGTATGCTGGTACTGAGGTGAACATTAAATACATATTTGAAATGACTCATTTGTTCCGCTGCAAAATCTAATAGTCATGCAAAGCGTAAGCATTGTAATATATATACTATATTGACAAAATGTTTCAATGATTTGGGTCAGATAGGTCAGAGCAGAGTAACAATAGATTCGGTCAAACTATTTCAATGATTGAGGTCAGAGGTCAAAATAATGGGCGACCTATAGATTACTATGCATGATACACCACCAACTGGAATATACCTGTAAACAATAAAAATGATGTCACTACATCCAATTGTCATCCGAAACAATGAACGCAATAGCGAGATATTTATATAGTGTATTTTAGCGATAAGTAGGTATGTGTAACCTTGAGCTGTCTGAAGTTGCAAAAAAAAGAGAGAGAAAAATGTCACCAATGCATATGACGTTTAAAATCTCAGGTTATCAGTAAGAATGAACCCTTTTATCTAAAGAAAGAACGAATTCCTGCAGCTTTTTGGGAATATGGTGTTTGGCCTGATGTATCCCACTTCATGATTTCAAAAGGCAACTTATGTGGCCCACTACAGAATCGGAATTTCATCTGTATCTTCTGCTTAAAGGATATGCATCAAACAAACTTGATCTCTTGCTACATTGCAATATCTGTCTCTTTGTCCCTTCAGTTGTTATTCTCTCCATGATGTCATCTTAGGTACTTGTCGTTACCTGACTTAAGCTTTTTTTCCCCTTACACTGTTGCTTTACTTACCGTGGTGAGTATTTCGGTATTCGTCGTCATATATAGCTTCTCTACACAGTTGAGATTATTACCACCGTTTACATGAAACAGTAGTTAAAGATCACGTTATCTGTCTAAGCCAAAATATTGAAGTTTATTTAAGGAATGATTTTTATTTTTTCAACATTTATGAGGTCATAACAACAATGGGTTTATGGACATATTGAATGAATCGCGTTAGCGATTCATGTAAAATATGTCCAAAAACCCATTGTTGTTATGACCTCATAAATGTTGAAAAAATAAATATCATTCCTTATATTTACATTGACGAATCCTTTCAGTGGATCGATATAACAACGAATAAAACAAATAAACAGGGTTTGTTCCTGCTTATACACGGGTGCAACGCAGTGGCGAGAACAGTGTTTTTTCGCGGGGAAATGTGACACTATCGTGAGAGATCTTAGCAACCGTCAACAACAATAACACAACAAAATGTAGTTCCATATTCAATGTTTATTTGTAGCACAGGACACGTGAATACGTGGATATTTCACAAAGCACAGTTCAATAATATTTTAAGATGTAAGAATTAAGCATCTAGTTCGGTCGTTCCGAGTGAGTAGTTTTTGTAGTGTATTACTACGCAGTGTGATCAGGTTACTATCAGTTCCCACGTGCTGAGATTCTATGAACACCTGTGTTATGCATTTATGAATGTGATTTTTGTCAATGGGTCTAAGCATACAGAATGTAAATATAGCGTCATAAAGGGTTCTGTAGTCAACTTCTCCTTTTGCAATTTTCTTCGTTTGTTTTGGAACACTAGACAGAAATTGTCGATCTTTTGACCTGAAGTACCACGACGAGACTTAGATGGACAAAATGACCATATGGTTAAAGGATATTTTAGGCTTTCTGCATACATTTATTAAATGTTTGAAAAGGTGTTTCCATACTTACCAACTCTAGTCCCTATCTTGCACATCCGCCGTCACATGACTTAGGGATTGTACCTCTTCTCTGTTGATCAACTTTCAATGATGACTCGGAGTTTGTTTTTCTACACTGCTGCTTTGCTTTTCATCGGTATCAACGTATTGCTTCTATACACTATTGGTGTACTTTCCATAGGGTCGCTCAAGACAAACGTCTTCATATGACCTGTTTTGTTTTGTTGATTTCCTTACAATCATCGTATTATTAATGAGGATCTGTTCCACTGTAAAGACACAGACATGAAACAATTACTTTATGCACAAGACAGAAAAACAAAAACACATAATTACTAAATATTGCTTTAATTATTTATTTATCCTTTCATTGTGTAATTGATGTTGGATCAGCTGCGAAGAAACAAAATAAAAAGTTTCTACGATACTCAATTTGATATTACACAGACTATGTTCTAAGTATGGGTTTGTTTAAATGTGATTGTAAATATCGTTAGTTAATGAAACAAAGAATAACTCGGCCTGTTTGCTTGTCTTTTGTTAGGACCCGGTTTATGAAGAGTAACCCGAAGTACCACCTGGCGGTAAACGCGGTAGTATGTACCGCTGTGTTCGGATGTGCCTTACCTGTCGCTATTGCCTTGTTTCCTCAGTACTCAAAGGTAAGTGTGGTTATGATCTATCCTGAAATATCGAAAAGCAAAAAAACAAAAATCATGAATTTCTTGTCATTGAAGACATTCTTGAAATCTACATGGACTTACAAAATGTTTTACAGTTTGGAACGATTTTATACAAGCAGGAATTTGTTTGATTATTTAAAGTAAAATTGATGATTTGATACAATGTTAACAAGTATCAAAACAGAAAATCCTCATATACATATATAATACATATATTTTAAACTGAGAGGTGACTGTTATTTTTGACACAATGTTGTTACACTGAGAATGGACAAACGCTTACATAAATACATAACATTGAAGTGGAAATCACAAATATCTCTTTATGTGCATATTAATTACCTAAATCTGTTAATTTGATATTTGTGAAATTGAGTGATATTGCAGTTCTTCCCTAGTCTTATTAAAGATTCGTTATCGTAAAAAGACATGATTTGGTAAATAAATCAAAAATGACCAAATGTTTGCTGATGACAGCGCTCTGTATAAGCTGTAAGTAAACAGATGTTGAGGATGGTTATACTCCCTTTTACGTGGATGCACGTGCGGATGTATGATAGATGGTAGACAGTATTGTATGGTGACAGGCTGTATTTTATCAGTGTGCATGTCATAACACACCACGTGTTCACAAACTGTTGGACTGTCCTCCCTCAGAGTATCGTTTGTATTGAGGAAAAAAACCTAACAAATGTTCAGACCACCGTGAAACTGGCGATACAAAAAACGAAGGAACATAATTGTTTCGGAAGCTGTGTGGGTATTAAATTCAAAGAAACATAGATGTTTATATTTATATGCATGAAAATACAGAAATTAAAAAAAAATGTAAACATTCTTTTTTTTTTTATTATTGTGTACTTTTATAATATCTCCCGATGTTGTGTGTATATTTGTTTTGACAACCCTTTCTAGTTTATGACAAACAGATACGTTTTATTTGATAACGATTCTTAATTTCATAGAAGACAATTAAATACTAAGTTAGACTTAGCATGATACATATAAAAGACTAATATACATGTAAGTTATGCATGTCATCTGAGCATGGTACTTAGCAGATTGATATATGATTATAGTTAATTTAAGAAATTGGAGGAGTAGACATATTCTGCCTTAAATATTACGTGGAATATATTGGGATTTGTCTAAGACACGAAAGATATTAAAAAAATCCATTCTAAACGAGAAAAGTTAAACAAATTGCGTTTTTTGTGTTTCAACTTTTTGGCCCCTACCATCACCAATGAGTCGTAGAAGGATGAAACAGCTGTGTGGTGCAGTGTCACTCAATTTTGGCATGCTGTATCTATTACTTAATTTAAAAGGTTCAGTCCCATGTTTGTGTGTTTGGTTTAACTTTGTTGTGTTTTCACCAAGAAGCCATCATTTAATGTTTGTAAAACTGGTAAGAAATCTCAAGGAAAGTTTAAGAAAATCTAATAAGAGTTTAGTTTCTTTAAATGTTTTTTTTAGATTCGACTCTACCACATATTATCGATTTTGCGACATAGTATTGTATTATCCTAATCTGAATCGATTATAATTCGGGGGATTAATATTTCCGCGTTAATTATTACCATTACTTATCAAGTCATATTCAGTACTTTATGGCGGTTCTGTTTGCTTTTGTGAATTATGTCATCGCGGATTTGTCACGGAAAAAACCCAACTGCGTAAATAGAAATTAACAAAAATTATTTGATTCCCAGTATCTACCATAAGTAAACTTCACTTACTTCACAATTTGACTTAAGGATCGACCGCAAGTTCCAGTATCAGGAGAATGATTATTTACACAGAGCTTTAGACTTTGAGTGAAACATAAGTTACACAGATACACAGATTTTATTCTGACTATAGCACTGACAAATCCTCTGCTGTCAGCAAAGTACAATAAAAGTATATATATATATAATTTTATAACAATTCTGACATCCTCATGGACATATCACGTCAGTAATGACTGAGTCTAAATGATAAATGATATAATTAGGATTATATTAAATTTAATTTTTACTAATTAAAGCCATTACGTGTATTCTTAACTTTGAAATATATATATATTCAGTCCATGTATATAACTACTGGTGCATTGCAATTGGTATCCTTTAAGTATAACGTATCGGTCTGTTTCTCCAGTGACAAGGCAAGATTCATTTTATAAATCGTATGTTAATGAGATATTCTCAAATGGTAGACTGTTTCAAATATCGATAGTTCTGTGACAAAATTAGTTTTTCTTATGTTGAGGCGCTAGCGAGAATAGTACGGAAGCGTCAGATCACGAAATTAAGTGTTCAGTAAACATAAGTTAACCACAGAATGTTCATTGGAATTTGCACTTGTAACACAAAACACTCAGATTATACATTAATCTGCAATTATGGCATTAGTGTTCCATTGTTGGCATTGGAGGGTGAAATCGGGCTCCTTTACAACTTGTTTTACGTTTGACATTTTAACACATGTATGAAATATTAAAAAGTTATGTTTTTTAAAACATTAATGAAATCATAATAATCGAGTAAATAAATTGATGATGACAGCTATTAAAACTTCATCATTACAGCAAAGCGATATCATCATGGCAAAACATTTACCCATTTTGTAACAAAAGTCGAATTCATTAACTATCAAGGTGTATTTAAAACAAAAAGATAAATCTGATTAGATGGTCACATAAGTTTTCGTAAATTTCAGTTTTTGTAAAAGTTAAGTTAAAAAAGTTCAACTAAGAAACTAATGTTGATACCTGATTTGTGAAAAAATGATCAAATTTGATCCTTTGAAGCTTTTAATACACTATGCATTACTATTTTGAAAATTCAATGGAAAGCAGCTTATTCTACGATGCAAATGATCATGTTTCCCACATCATCTGTGTATTTTTCTCCGTCCAACAATACCACACATCACATCTATTGTTCTAGTGCATGAAATGACAAAAACTGTATGTAATTATATATAATTAGGGCCTTTTGTGCTATGAAACATGTGCGGATAGGTGTAATGGATGCTGTGAGAGGAGGGAGGAGACATGTGATGCTTGTAAGACAAGCGATATCAGCCTGTATCTACATGTCGTACAGCCCTCCAAAATAGTCTGTCCACCATCTGATAAAGTCGGTGTCTGCTGCCACGTGTAATGCTAACAGACAGGAGAACTAAGGCTCAGGGTACCAATTACTTCGGTGTTGAAATAATTCTACTGTTTGTCCGATGTCGGGTACAAATAAACGCCAAGTCCCATCAACTCTCGCTGTCCATCAGTTTCACTGAACAAATAAACGTCTTACCCAATCCTGTAGCTCAGTCCATCAACTGCCGCGGTTCGACCCAAGCCACCCTCGTTCTCTCCATTCCTGGCATAGCTATTTGGTGGGTCGACATTCCCACAGATTGGCTGTCGTACGGTTCAGTGCCGTCTCAGGGCCCGTCCTGGTCGTTATGTGGCACTTTGCAGCACATTGGTGCTGATGATTTATCATCAGATTCCTAATTGGCAAATTAGTAGACTATTCATTTTTGTTACAACGGAAGATAAGACCGGGAGACTATGCAGTTTGCGTCTTATTGTTTCCATTAGGGCCCTGATAAGTCGAAAACGGAGGTTATATTATCTTTCGTTTTATGCTTCTCTCATAGTCCTCGTGTAACAAGAACACTTTTTTTACGATCCCAAGATACACTGTAAACACATTTGAGCTGCCAATGGGATCTTGACACCGCATCCAGTTGCCATGTTTTGTGACATGTTTCCGTCATTCTGTAAGCAATATACTCCAAAGTGTAATATTCTTTGTGTTTTACGAGTAGTCAAGCAAGGTTCACGCAGTTCTTACAGGATTTCCTGGTACAATGAGTTTGTATACACAATCCCACCCACAAACTGAGGGATTTCGGTGGTGTCATAAAACAGGCATTTGAATAGTTAAGTAAGGCTGATGTTGTTCTCGCATTAGTTCTATTTTCTCAGTACATTACGGATTTTTGCATAGAATTTCATTTTTTGGGGGGTTTACTCCACGACGATACAAGATACGCTTTTTGTTTCTGCAGATTTCCGTAGCAGACTTGGAACCAGAATTCCAGACCAAGACGTCAGAGTCGATCTTGTCATACAACAAAGGCCTTTAGTAACCTAGTTACTGACCACTGTCCACCTCCAATGTGCCATATACATACCTCATACGACGATCGCTCGAAATCTCGGCAAACTAGTTTATATATGGTTTAATGTATTGAATTTATAAAAATGTATTTGATTTTGCACCTTAATTATTTTATCCAAGCTGACGCACCTTAATATTTTGTAATAATGACTGTAAAAATACATGATCTGATGATTCCGAGTTTTCCTAGTGCCAATTGAACGCGTTTGTTCATATCGTTTTACAGGAGAGGTGGACACTATACAGTTGATTCTTGCTCATTGTTGATTACCGAGTGCTTTTGCAACACATTTGAAACAGTTTCAGTTTCAGCTTAAATTTTGAGAGTGTGTAATTTCAAAGATTGTTCCTAATGCTATGCAGAGAAGGGGAAAAATGATTTCATTAATTATTTTGAGGAATTTTTATAAAGATATGTAAAATTGTCGATGAAACAGTTGTTGCATCAGCATTAACTACTTTTGGACTGTAACGTGTGACATGTACGTGAGGTATAAAGATGTGATTATAATTATACAATTTTATAACATGTTCAATTTGCATTTTTTATCAGGTAAAACAACTATTTTATCACCTATTTATTTCATAATCAAGAAAAGTGTCTTCCAAACGGCAATATGTAATCGCTATGTTGATAATTTGTTCAAGCGTTGAACGTTTGTTTTGTGTCTCGTTAAAGTCACCTCCGATGTTTTATTCGATGTTAATATTATAAGAAACCCATAGAGTCCGAATGTTATTAATGTGAAACACCAAACGCAAAAGAACGACACGGGGCCAAAGATTTCTGATGTACTTTTACAAGTAGTTGGAGCACATATATGTATACATATACCAATGGTATCCCGTGGATGCTGTTGGAATGGTGACGGTGTACCAACTGAAATATCTAGTCATCCCTATACGCAGTATAATATTTAAAATGAATATCTTGATTGGTTATAATTATTTTTGTCGCAGTCATTTATGTAATCTTTGCTGATTTTGATATAAATATATTTGTGTTAGGTATAAGTAAAACATTTCAAAAGATGGCATTATGAATAATATTTTGTAAAAGTAATGTTTCTAGAGACTTAATAAGAATTCCACATACCTTGTGTTCTCAAGCTGGCTTATGAGCGTTGTCTTTGATTTTGATGCAGTGCTCATGACAATTCAAACAATGAAGACGTAGAGATGTATTTATCTTTTGTAATCCACGATTTCCAAACCACTTTCTCGTTTTGGAAGATTGACGGTAGACCGCCATGTTATATTAAAAGGATTTTCGGCAGTTTTGTTGTAGTGCCCTCTCTGTGTTATGTTAAAAAATCCGTAAGTTTGAAGTTTCTGGAAGTTTTTTTGTATTTCCCTATGCGATACATATAATTTCCGAAAGTGGTAATGTTCTTTGTTAAACATATATTTTCCAAAACTTTGAATGCATTTCTGCTGAGAAAAAGGAGAAAAAAAATATATTATACTGCTTATAAATTATCATGCAGTTTTTCATACGTACAACTTCTTGGGATTGGATATTGAAATTTTAGCACAAGGGCAATCATCATATATTGTATGTTAATTAAGAGAGTGTTATAACTCCTATGATTATTGGTTGTGTATTTTGTTATCCTCTGACAGCCGATAACTGACAGCTTGTGAGAGTATCTATATAGTTCTAGTAGGAATTCATGGATTATAGAAAATGTATGTATCAGAATTATTGATTTAGTGTTCATAATGGTTAATCCATAGATTTTGACGCGTATTGAGAACATTATACGATTTTGTATTGTATAAGATGAATTGATTATTTTCAACACGGAATACTGCTTTTAGTATTTCAGTATAATGAATTCCATTTACACAGCCATTAACGGGGTATAATTGTTGATGTTACACAATGGTATACCTTACTTATGATCGATGTGCTTTACTGTTAAAAGCGTTATTCAAAGTAATATGTATCAATATTTTTCTATAATTATTGTGATGTTAATTTACACAATTACGTTGAACCGAAATTGTTGTCATAGTTACCGTGTTTACATTGATAATTTAAGGTGTATTTAACGGACACGCCCACTCGCGCGAATATGCTGAGTTTAGATGACATCTTATTTACACTTGATGTTCTAATCTCTTTTAATACATATTACAGGTCTTGTTGATTTTTTTACAAATCACTTATTTCCAATTTCGTAACACACTCTCGACACATATTTATTTTTACAAATCTAATAACTGATAAAAAGGGGGTATACTGTACAGTTACTATTCATCAAGGGTACTAATTCTTACAATGTTTATTGACTTACATAAATGCACTGATACTGATTATTTTATAATGAAAATTACATGTATACTTAAACTTGATATCAGTATGTATTCTAATGATATACCTAGTCCGGATCTATTGTACCTTGCAGTTGCCGCCGAACGGTGTAAAATGCTATACGAGCCAAATATGAAAAGGAATGTGTGTCAAATCATATTGTTCCTATTTCAGAAATTTTGTTTTTCAAACAAGATAAAAAAACAAAAATTACGTGCACATTTAATTTTTCAATTAAAAATGAAATATTTTTATATTTATATTATTAATAAAATAAGATAAATTTGTTCTGGAAGTCAAGATAATTAATAAAGAAACATGAGAGAGACAAGTTTTAGGAGACAATAGAAGCATTTGTTTTGTATGAACCAATATACGTTTGACACTGGTTACTTCCGCGTTTTGACCCGGTTCGATCAGTCAGTTTGTTGTGTTTTTATTTGAAATCATTTCGTTATGATATTTTTGAAATGTTTAAGTCTAAGGAATCCCTGCACCTAATCGCATAAATGAGATTACCGTGGTTACAATGAATTTGCAATATAATTGACGCCATTTTAGTTGTTTGTAGTGGAAATATGAAATTATACACGTATACATGTATTATCCAGGAAATTATTTCCCTTTGGGAATATTATATAGTATATATATATAATAGGATTAACGCAAAAATAAAGATAAATAAGACAAATCATGAGGTCGCAGTTGTTATTTTTTTCAACAAATACAGTTTTTTTCTCTGTTCATATTACGAGTCAAGAGTCATATCCTGACAATCACCTGCAGTTTGACCCAAATATTCACCTGGCTACTAAACCCCAAGACAAACCTGACAAATTAATTTCACGACTTGCAAGTTTCATTTCCTCGGTAGTAACATACTAGCCTTCCCTGTGTATACTTTATAACATGAAATGTTCTTGAGTCCTTTCCTCCGTGGTTTGAAACAATTCAGATAAAAGATAAAATGTAGTTGCCTATTACAAATTTCGTGAATGCCCCATAAAAAACATCGCTAAATATATCAATTAAGTGCATTTTATTTATTTCATGGTTCCATTGCAACCTCCGAATCCACGAGTGTTTATACACAGTAAATTGTTGTGTCGAACAGTAGATATAACTCCAAGACAAACATGACAAAGTTAAATTCACGACTGTAAAGTTTCATTTCCTCAGTAGTAATATAACATGGAACCTTCGTATGTACTTTCCTTCTTCTGTAATGGTACCCGTTACAATAAGACTCATTGTTCCTATTCGGCAGGGTTTAACGAGTGTTAGTGAACGTGAGGCGTAGGCAAATGACTTTTCATTTTAGATCTTTACGGGTTCGCTTGAGAATGCCATAGTTTCTGTGATTAATTTCAGATGTCAATAGACAAATTTACAATACAGCGTTTCAAGAAATGCGTGAAAATGATGATTTTATATAGGTTTTATGGGCGTCGTCATTATCCTAATGAAATGAGTTTCTGACTATGCTTATTGGCATGTCTTGTTGTTTTCCTGTCACTACCCCGCCTCACACTTTTTGGCTTGTCTTGTTGATTTCCCGTCACTACCCCGCCTCACACTTATTGGCGTGTCTTGTTGTTTTCCTGTCACTTCCCAACCTCGCACTTATTGGCGTGTCTTGTTGTTTTCCTGTCACTACCCCGCCTCACACTTATTGGCGTGTCTTGTTGTTTTCCTGTCACTACCCCGCCTCACACTTATTGGCGTGTCTTGTTGTTTTCCTGTCACTACCCCGCCTCACACTTATTGGCGTGTCTTGTTGTTTTCCTGTCACTACCCCGCCTCACACTTATTGGCGTGTCTTGTTGTTTTCCTGTCACTACCCCGCCTCACACTTATTGGCGTGTCTTGTTGTTTTCCTGTCACTACCCCGCCTCACACTTATTGGCGTGTCTTGTTGTTTTCCTGTCACTACCCCGCCTCACACTTATTGGCGTGTCTTGTTGTTTTCCTGTCACTACCCCGCCTCACACTTATTGGCGTGTCTTGTTGTTTTCCTGTCACTACCCCGCCTCACACTTATTGGCGTGTCTTGTTGTTTTCCTGTCACTACCCCGCCTCACACTTATTGGCGTGTCTTGTTGTTTTCCTGTCACTACCCCGCCTCACACTTATTGGCGTGTCTTGTTGTTTTCCTGTCACTACCCCGCCTCACACTTATTGGCGTGTCTTGTTGTTTTCCTGTCACTACCCCGCCTCACACTTATTGGCGTGTCTTGTTGTTTTCCTGTCACTACCCCGCCTCACACTTATTGGCGTGTCTTGTTGTTTTCCTGTCACTACCCCGCCTCACACTTATTGGCGTGTCTTGTTGTTTTCCTGTCACTACCCCGCCTCACACTTATTGGCGTGTCTTGTTGTTTTCCTGTCACTACCCCGCCTCACACTTATTGGCGTGTCTTGTTGTTTTCCTGTCACTACCCCGCCTCACACTTATTGGCGTGTCTTGTTGTTTTCCTGTCACTACCCCGCCTCACACTTATTGGCGTGTCTTGTTGTTTTCCTGTCACTACCCCGCCTCACACTTATTGGCGTGTCTTGTTGTTTTCCTGTCACTACCCCGCCTCACACTTATTGGCGTGTCTTGTTGTTTTCCTGTCACTACCCCGCCTCACACTTATTGGCGTGTCTTGTTGTTTTCCTGTCACTACCCCGCCTCACACTTATTGGCGTGTCTTGTTGTTTTCCTGTCACTACCCCGCCTCACACTTATTGGCGTGTCTTGTTGTTTTCCTGTCACTACCCCGCCTCACACTTATTGGCGTGTCTTGTTGTTTTCCTGTCACTACCCCGCCTCACACTTATTGGCGTGTCTTGTTGTTTTCCTGTCTCTACCCCGCCTCACACTTATTGGCGTGTCTTGTTGTTTTCCTGTCACTACCCCGCCTCACACTTATTGGCGTGTCTTGTTGTTTTCCTGTCTCTACCCCGCCTCACACTTATTGGCGTGTCTTGTTGTTTTCCTGTCACTACCCCGCCTCACACTTATTGGCGTGTCTTGTTGTTTTCCTGTCACTACCCCGCCTCACACTTATTGGCGTGTCTTGTTGTTTTCCTGTCACTACCCCGCCTCACACTTATTGGCGTGTCTTGTTGTTCTCCTGCCACTACCCCGCCTCACACTTATTGGCGTGTCTTGTTATTTCCCTGTCACTTCCCCGCCATACACTTATTGGCGTGTCTTGTTGTTTTCCTGTCACTACCCTGCCTCACACTTATTGGCGTGTCTTGTTGTTTTCCTGTCACTACCCCGCCTCACACTTATTGGCGTGTCTTGTTATTTTCCTGTCACTTCTCCGCCTCACACTTATTGGCGTGTCTTGTTGTTTTTCTGTCACTACCCGGCCTCACACTTATTGGCGTTGTTTTCCTGTCACTACCCCGCCTCACACTTATTGGCGTGTTTTGTTATTTTCCTGAAACTACCCTGCCTGACACTTATTGGCGTGTCTTGTTGTTTTCCTGTCACTACCCCGCCTAACAATTATTGGCGTTGTTTTCCTGTCACTCCCCCGCCTCACTCTTATTGGCTTGATTTGTTGTTCTGTCTCACTACCCCGCCTCACACTTATTGACGTGTCTTGTTGTTTTCCTGTCACTACCCCGACTCACACTTATTGGAGTGTCTTGTTGTTTTCCTGTCACTACCACGCCTCACACTTATTGGCGTGTTTTGTTGTTTTCCTGTCACTACCCCGCCATACACTTATTGGCGTGTCTAGTTGTTTTCCTGTCACTACCCCGCCTCACACTTATTGGCTTGATTTGTTGTTCTGTCACTACCCCGCCTCACACTTATTGGCGTGTCTTGTTGTTTTTCCTTTCACTACCCTGCCTCCCACTTTTTGGCTTGATTTGTTCTCCTGCCACTACCCCGCCTCACACTTATTGGCGTGTTTTGTTATGATCGTGTCACTTCCCCGCCTCACACTTATTGGCGTGTCTAGTGGTTTTCCTGTCACTACCTCGCCTCACACTTTTTGGCGTGTCTTGTTTTCCTGTCTCTACCCCGCCTCACACTTATTGGCGTGTCTTGTTGTTTGCCTGTTACTACCCCGCCTCACACTTATTGGCGTGTTTTGTTATGATCGTGTCACTTCCCCGCCTCACACTTATTGGCGTGTCTAGTGGTTTTCCTGTCACTACCTCGCCTCACACTTTTTGGCGTGTCTTGTTTTCCTGTCTCTACCCCGCCTCACACTTATTGGCGTGTCTTTTTATTTTCCTGTCACTTCTCCGCCTCACACTTATTGGCGTGTCTTGTTTTTTTCCTGTCATTTCCCCGCCTCACACTTATTGGCGTGTCTAGTGGTTTTCCTGTCACTACCTCGCCTCACACTTTTTGGCGTGTCTTGTTTTCCTGTCTCTACCCCGCCTCACACTTATTGGCGTGTCTTTTTATTTTCCTGTCACTTCTCCGCCTCACACTTATTGGCGTGTCTTGTTATTTTCCTGTCACTACCCCGCCTCACACTTATTGACGTGTCTTGTTGTTTTCCTGTCACTACCCTGCCTCACACTTTTTGGCTTGATTTGTTCTCCTGCCACTACCCCGCCTCACACTTATTGGGGTGTCTTGTTATTTCCCTGTCACTTCCCCGCCTCACACTTATTGACGTGTCTAGTTGTTTTCCTGTCACTACCTCGCCTCACACTTTTTGGCGTGTTTTGTTGTTTTCCCGTCACTACCCCGCCTCACAATTATTGGCGAGTCTTGTTGTTTTCCTGTCACTCCCCCCGCCTCACACTTATTGGGGTGTCTTGTTTTTTCCCTGTCACTTCCCCGCCTCACAATTATTGGCGCGTCTTGTTGTTTTCCTATC